GGGAGGAAGACCTTTCATTGCCTACAGACAGCCACCCAATCTTAAACAACTCCTAACCCACAATAATACTACAACCAGACTTAACACGGACACTGGCACCAGAGCCTGCAATAAACCCAGATGCCAACTTTGCTGCCACATACACCCGGACAACACCATTACTGGCCCCAACAACATCACACATACCATCTCAGGACTATTTAATTGCTCATCGTCTAACATTGTGTATGCCATCAAATGCCAACAGTGTCCTTCAGCTCTCTATATTGGACAAACAGGTCAAACCTTACGCCAAAGAATAAACGGACATAAATCTGACATCAAGAATCACAAGACAGAGAAACCAGTAGGAGAAAACTTCAATCTCCCAGGACATTCTATACAAGATCTCAAAGTAGCTGTTTTACTACAAAGGAATTTCAGAAATAGACTGGAAAGAGAAGCTGCTGAATTGCAACTCATTACCAAACTTAAAACCATGGAGAGACTTGGTCTGAACAAAGACATTGGATTCTTATCTCATTATACATGACAAAGCCATTTTTCACCTTCTCACCCCTTGCTTTTTCCTGTAAGACCTATTGCAGTCGTTAAGAGTCGTCAACAGGCTCATCACAGCTATCTGCCAATCACCCATTCCCACCACCCTTCTGAGTAATACCCCTCCCCACCTTCTCACTATATAGAAGGATCTGGCAACTTCTGTTTCAGTGTATCTGAAGAAGTGTGCATGCACACGAAAGCTCATACCAAGAACTAACTTAGTTGGTCTTTAAGGTGCTACTGGAAGGAATTTTGTTTTGTTTTGACTATGGCAGACCAACACGGCTACCTATCTGTAACTGGATCTATACCTAATGTGAGTTTTCAGAATGAGTATGACAGATTGAACCACCACACTATGCCTCATTGTTCGAAAGCAACTTACTATCTTTTGAAAGCTGTTTTTTGACTTAAACTGATACCAAGAATGTCGGGATAACCCCAAGAAAAGGAAACAGCTCTTTTTCAAAAACAAGCTCTATGCTTGTTTGTTGTTCTTTACAATCTCTGGAAGCCCTTCCTCCCTTTAAATAATTTTTTTAAAAAAAATAAGCTGTGGTGAAGTTAGGCAATCTCGGACTTCACAGTCTTATATGAGGGCCCTTCTATACATGGCAATGTGTATTACTTCATGTACTTCAAAATGTGTAAGTCGGTCTTGCCTAATTTGGGGGCTTTCCTTCCCAATCTGCTGAGTGAGGCCCTGAACTTCTGACCTGATGGCACCACTGACTGTGCAGGCCAAACAGCATATGATTCTGAGGGCTGCCTCAACCAACCTCTGTGGAAATGCCCTCTCTTCAGTATCAGAGTCTGAAGGATTCCCCACCACCACTGCCCTCCAGAGAATATATTTTTATGGCAGGAATTCATGGTTCTGGGCTCTTGCAGAAAAATATAGTATAGTCAGAGATAGATATCTAAGCTGGCAAGAGATTTATAACAAACAAACAAAAATATTTATCTGGCAGAGTGGTTTTCAGTCACTCCGGTGATGCAGAGAGGACACAATATTTTGCCTTTTGTGGGTTGCAAAGGCTCCTTGTGAGTTTATCTTTAGATGAATTCAGTCAAGCCTCTCCAGAGAGACGGTCATGCCAGGTGATGTGCTTGCTAACCCACCTGGTGTTTGGCTGCTGATTTTCTAATCATCCAATTTGCCAGCTTGGTAATGTGTTTATTGCTGATTAGTTCTGACTCAGATGTCTGCTGTTCTCTTTGGGGGACAGTCTATGTTCTTGAGAATTATCCTGCTGGCTTTACATCATGATGCATACAACTTTACAAAAAGGTCTGTGAGGGAGCTCTGTACTACACCTCTGGATCAGAGATAGGGCCAAGTCATAGTGGTGTGTTCTGAATATGAGTTGAATGCATACTCATAGCATTCAGCTGGTTGAAGTGACTGTGATCACTCATGCCCTCCTTGCAACTCAACTCACATTTATCAATTGTAGCCTAAGCACATCTGGAGGACCACAGGCTCCCCAGCTCAGTCCAGGAAGACTGTACTATCTCATTCTGGTCTATCCATAGACCAGACCAGAGGTGTTGATATTCAAGCCAGCCTGCAAGAAGCATGCTCTCTAATCCCAGGTGCAGGAAGGTTCAAGAATATCCAGGAATCTGATCTCACAGCAGGTACATTGGCATGCAGGTCTGGGGACTGAGCCATCATTTACAATGATCTAGATTGAGGGAAGGTGATATCAGACAGACCCAGAGATTGAGCAATCCATGAGGCATTGGCAATCCAGTGTGGTGCAGTCTCTAGAGGGGTCAGACTAGGTCCGGGGAGATCCAGGTTCAAGTCCTCATGACACTCAGCCACAAACCTTTTGAGGGAGCTGCTGTTTTTCAGTACAATCCAGCTCACAAGGTTGCTTTGAGATTAAAAATAATAATGGTTCATGTATGCAACTTTGAGCTTCTTGGAAGTGTAGCTGTGGTAGCCACAGTAGTCCTTGGCAGGTATTTGCTTTGACACCTTGGTTCTAAATTAACCTGAGGGGAACTGAGGAAGAGAAGTTCCATCAAAAGCAAGCTCTTTTGATGGGCCAATTGAATTCTCACCCATGAGTGCTTATGAGCCACTAAGAAAAGGAGTAGCTGTGGTAGTCTCATCAGGTATTTGCTTAGACACTTTGGTTCTAAATTAACTTGAGGAAGGCAGAGAAAAGCTCCATCATAAGCAAGCTTTGGAGAGAGGCAGAGACCAAGGGTGTGTTCACATTGCCACCTTACAGTGCAGCACAGTTGTTTTTCCCCTGAGGTGCTTTACTGCTCTTCCGCTCCCCACCAGCTGTTCACATCAGTACAGCTTAATTAGTATGAGGTTCATTTTTGTTTGTTTACACAAACAAATTAGTAACAGCTTAAGGAATCCAATCAGCGTGAAGCTGGTTTGAGAAATGAGACAGTACAGGATACATATGCATTTTGGATCATGCTGTGTGAATATGGATTAAAAACCCAGCACTGGAGATGCAGTAAGTGCGCGGCAAAGAGGAGCTGAATGTGGTCCAAGGGTAGATCAGGACTGTGCACTTGGCTTCCTCCCATTTTGTTATTTCCCCACTCTCTCCCCTTCCTCATTCAAGCACCTTGTCGTCTGCCCTTATACTTCATTACCAATATGGCTCTGCCTCATTGTGTGCTTTCCCATCCTTAGTGCCTCTTTGCTTATTGAGGTCTTTATGCCAGCATGTGTCACCATGGCACTGGAACTAAGAGGCCTATGAAAAGCTCTTCCAAAGAAATCATAGAAGGGAATGGATGGAGAGAATGCTGTGCCTTGTTAGCAAATGAAGAAGAAGAGTATATTGAGCAGCCCCCAAAAAGAGATGAGACAGTCATCTCTCGGTAAAATTGGCTTAGGATGAAAAGCAAATAAAGAAGCACTTGGACATTTTTATATCAGGAAGCCACTCATACCTTTCAGAAGCATTCAAGAGAGAAGATAAGCTTCTTCCTGAGAACGATTGCTATTCTAGGTGGTGATTCATTCATTCATTCTTCATTTATAGAAACTGGAGATATTGGGGGTGGAGGGACGGGGCGGGGGAAAGAAAAACAATGCTCTTATATTAGTTAAGAGGCTGGAAAGCAGATGCCTCAGGGGTGAAGGACAAATACTTATTTGGATGGGATGAGACTATCAAAATAAGTGGAGTGGCAAAAGTAAGAGCCAATGCATGTAAGTGGGCATGATTTTTGAAGGACCTGGCTGAGGTTGGTTGCTTAGGTCTGCCTCCCCAAACAGAGGTGGTCCCTATAATAAATTCATGCCCTAATTATAAAACAGAAGATGACCCTCTCCCTGTGTACCATGGGAAGGGCTCTTCTCCAAACCTTGCTTCAAGTATCAGAAGCTTGAGAATCCCTTCGGATCAAGTGTTGGAAACAAACAGTGGAGGCCTAGGTTCAATCTGTGTCAGGCCATGAAGGTGCCAACCTTTTCCAAGCTTGATTTACCCTCAGAGGCTTGTTGTGATTGGGGCAGGAGGGGACCTAGAACCCCCCTCATTATATAACCCCATTCACCATAAGGCGGGGCGGAGCACAGCATGTGTTGAAGGTTGGTCTATAGATGTTTTGAATGTTTAAGCAAATGAGAGATTCCAACTCACAGGCTACCATTTCAAACAATTACTAGGCAAGGAGCCAACACTTGTCCATGTAGCTCAGTACTGTCTAGCTACACCTACCTTCCCCAACCTGGTGTCCTCTAGACATTTTGGACTGCAACTCCCATAATCCCTGTCCGCTGGCCATGCTGTCTGGAACTGATGGGTCTTTGAGTCCCACAACATTGGAAGGGCCACAAGCTAGGGAAGGCTGGTCAGCAGAAACCTAGGATCTGCAGAAGAAGTCCCCCCCCCATCACCTACTGCTGAAGTGCTTTCACTTGGAGATGCCCAGATTTGAACCCGAGTCCTTCTGAAATGCAAGCCATTTATTTAAAAGGGAGCAGGGAACTCAGCAAGGATTTATTTTTCTTTAAATGGGTTTTCTTGAACTTTAGGTACTTATGGGGTTTTTTTTTTTTTTTTGCAAATAAAATAAAGATTTTGTTCATTTTTTAATTGTGCAGGATAGTGTGCTTAAACCTAACTGAAAGTTTTCAGAAATGCTGAAAAGGAAAATCAGCCCCCCACTCACCCACCCAATAGCTCACAGTCCCATTCAAATTGTCAAAGAATTCAAATATGCAGGAAAACCGGGAAAGTTTTTTGTGTCATGGATTCATAGAATTGTGGAGTTGGGGGGGATCCCCAGGGTCAACCCGTTGCAAGTCGTTGGTTCAGTTCAGTACCTCTGCAGAAAGAAGTAAGGCTTGCGATTCCTTCCTCGATTTAAATCAGAGAGGACCACGAAAAACACCCACAGTCATCTCAGGAAAATAGTGGCCTCTGTGTTCTCACCGAGTAACTTTCAGGGAGAGCTCTGGAGTCCTCCCGTCCGCCAGACTCACATTTCTAAGAGTCCACGTTTGATCTCCTCGCTCTCTTTTCGCCTCTGCTTTCCCGCTCTGCGGGAGGGGTTGAAGCCGAGCCGGCGTGTGAGACAGAGGATGGTCTTCTTCTTTTCTGCCAAACACTAGCGCGCATCGCGTGGATCCTTTCTGCTGTGCACTTGCCTGCTGCTCCCTTCGTCCCGGACTGGGCATCTTCAAGCCTCCCCCGCGCACTTGTGGACTGCATCCCTGGGAGCCAATCAGAGCCGCCTCTTCCTCCCCTCATCGGCAAGTTCAGCTTGCTTGCGGTGCCTCTCCTTGGGTGCAGAGCCCAGCGTCGGTCAGGGTAAGTCCCGGGAAGGATGCTGCGCCAAAGTAGGCGGGTGGAAAAGAAGGAGTTGGTACAGGAAGAAGCTCAGGAACCCCCAGCGTAGTGGAAAGGGCAGACGGAGAGGAGAGAGAGTTGCCAGCACGCTGTGGTGCAGATGAGGGTGAAGGGGTGTGCGGGGGTTTCTGTTCTGGCACAGGAGAAGGATTGCAGGAATAATGGGATCAACTCAGAGAGAACCCACCAGCGCAAAAGATGCTCTTTTGCCAACCCCACCGCTAATAGTTGCTGCATCACCTTGCTACTGCCCCTGAGCCTGAAAGGTATGAGAAACCTTAGGAAGCTTCTTAATTGTTTTTTTCCTTCCACCCAAAGACCTGCTGAAGCTTTGAAATTTAATGGGGGATGTCTCCTTTCCCTACATTTGGCACCCAACCCTATTTCTGCCAGGACTTTGCAAGTCACACACCCCTCTCTCCTGTGGCTAAGAGGAAATTGATCACCCTTGGGACATCAGTAGTTGCTCCAGTCCCTGCTACATCATCTCTCTCTCTCTCTCTCTCTCTCTCTCTCTCTCTCTCTCTCTCCTTTCAGAGAAATTAGTAAGACTTCCCACCCACGTTGCTTAGGAAGGAAGGCTGCCCAGGTAGGGTTGTTGTGGGTCCTCCTCTTCGCTTCAGGAATGGAGGCTGAACTTTCGCCTTCTGAGGCCTGGTCCAGCGGGACAGCAGAACCCACCACACCCTGGTTGATGGAGCTGAGCAGTGTTGGGCCCAGCACAGATGGTGCCCTTCCAGTTGGGATGCAGCTGTGGATCTTCAACAGCAGTGGAGAGGAGGACACCTCACCCCCGTTTCTGACCGACGCCTGGCTTGTGCCTGTCTTCTACGCCCTCATCATGCTGCTTGGTCTGGTGGGGAACTCACTGGTCATCTATGTCATCAGCAAGCACCGCCAGATGCGCACAGCCACCAACTTCTACATTGGTGAGTGAACCCTGCCTGCTTGCTTTCCTGTGCTCTAGGCTTGCCCCACGAGCACCTTGACTGCTGACAGGTGTCTGGACGGGAAGAAGGAGTGTAAAACTTCTTCCAACTCTCCTCTCTGATCTTCTTCAACCTGCCACATGTTACAGTGCCCAGACATGACTTTAGGCTTCTGTTATGCCAGAGAGTGCCCATCCGTCCTAACCAGGATTGCTAATGGAATATTTCATATCCCCAGTATGCACAGCCCTTTCCCAATGTTACCCAATGTTCTTCCATAACATAAACAAGACAGGGAAGGCTGTTGAAAACTAACCTCATAGTGAATTTGCCCGACATGCCTTCTCCACCCGGTGTGGTAAATAAAGTATTACCTATTATTGGTCAGCCTCCCACTGCTAAGACAATTCAGTCTTGATTGCATTTTACTGATTTCGCAGACAGATGGTTAAAATACCCATCCATCCCAATTTTTATTTTCATTTCAACTGATTCTCATCCAGCTGGATATCTCAGTTGGTTAGAACATGGTGCTGACAATGCCAAGGTTGCAGGTTCAATTTCAATCCCCATATGGGGCAACTGCATATTCCTGCATTGCAGGGGAATGGACTGGATGATCCTTAGGGTCCCTTCCAACCTTATAATTCTAAGAGCTTCTAAGAGTACATTTATGGTCCATAGTGACCTGTAGCCTCCTGCTTGCACAATTCCTGGTATATAACTTGTTCTGATGTCTTCCCGTGATTATCTACTATCAGGGGAAGAGAATCTTACTCTCCTCTATGCTCATCAGGAATCTTCAGTACACCTGCTCTAACTTTAAAATAATTGCGGATGTAATTTATCTTCAAGATGTATGTTGATTTACCAAAAGAAAATACTGCAAATTGGGATATTACTTAATCTGTTTCTTCCATTATTTACCATACAAATTTGGCACCCTGATATAACAACTCTCACAATTTAATAGCTCTCCATGTACTATCAATATATTTAGATTGTGTGCCACAGCTATAGTGTCTACTTAGAAGTAAGTCCCACTGACTTCAGCGTTGAATATAGTGGGACTCTGTTCTGAGAAAACATGCAAAGAAACCCTCGGGAGCTCACTTTAAGTGCCTGAATGTTTCTTTTGAACCGTGTCCTTACCTTCCTCCACATACAATTCTAGGTTTGGAGCAGGCAGGCATAGTCTGAGGGAAACAGCTTCATGGGACCAGTAACAGGCTTAATTAGGCTTGAGGGCTGGAGGTTCACCATCCCGATATATAAGCTTGTTCTTTTAAAAGGCAATCATTTTACCCATTAAACAGATACCAGGGGAGGGGGCAGAACACACAGGTATCTCAGTGCTAGATGCAAATTCAGTACACAACAGCAACAGGCACACAGTACAATGATACCTTAGGTTACAGACGCTTCAGGTTACAGGCGTTTCAGGTTACAGACTCCACTAACCCAGAAATAGGACCTCAGGTTAAGAACTTTGCTTCAGGATGAGAACAGAAATTGTGCGGCGGCAGCATGGCAGCAGCGGGAGGCCCCATTAGCTAAAGTGGTACCTCAGGTTAAGAACAGTTTCAGGTTAAGAACGGACCTCCAGAACAAATTAAGTTCTTACCCAAGGTACCACTGTACAACATGCACATTATGCTTTTGGGAGTAAGAGGATTCCCTTCCTTTTGTGCTCAGTTTCCTTAAATGTTTAAACTGCCTGAGAAACATCTACAACTCACTGATTGGAGCTTTAATTTAATTTAAATAGTTTGTTTAAACATCTATATCCTACCCTTCCTCCCTAAGGCAGCAGATGAGAAGTGATAAAACATCTTCAAAATATTTTGAAAAGCTAAACAGAGATGCAAATTTGCTGCCTGATGAGCCATACTACAGCTGTTCGACAAGGACAGTATAAAGGGAAGCTCCCCATGGTTTCACATTTTCAATTTCCTTGAGCTAGCCAAGGGATTCAGCCAATATAATGTGTGAAGCTGGTCAGCGTCTGCATCCAAAGCATAGCTTGGTGAGTCTAGATGAGAAATCCCCACTCGCAGTCCTTGGCAAAGAAAGTGTTTCTTTGTCTGATTACCACGATCCACCACCCTGCCCTCTGCTTTTCCTTAGTGTGTGAAGACTGCCAGTGTTTTGCATGGTCTAGTTTAGTTTGTTTTCCATCTCACAATCATTGTTAGGCTTTCCATTATTAGTGTGAAGGCTTGTATCTCATCAAAAATGGTTTTGTGACTGCTCTAGACAGAAGTTGTATACTATTCCTCTTCTGAGGTATTTCCCAGTCCCATTCTCTGTCATTACTGGGGTCTGCTATTGGTCCTCCTCCTTCTAACCTAGATTTACCCTATTATACCCTGGACCCATTCTCCATTTTCATGAATGCAGCTATTTTCTAACATTCTTTTACCAAAAGCTGCATCCAACTGGCTGCAACCTGCTCTCAGGGCACTTTCACACTATCACTTTTTCAGGTGGGATTCAGACACATACAGTACTAGCAATTGCAGGTTGCACAGTTCAAGATAACTGAGTGGTCTTTTGCGACAAATCTGCTTCCCCAAAAGACTGGACCTATTTGCAATAAGGAAAGTGATGGGAAAGTTATGGGATAACAGTTGCTTTGATGCCCAGGAGCCAGCATTGTCTAATCTCTCTGCAAACAAATCAGTGTGAATGCTCAATAAACACATCACCTGGAAGTCCTCAGCCCTATTTTTTGTGCATTAAATATCCCGGTATTTTAAAAAACTAATTAATTTTATTAAAATTGTTATTTATTTATTTTTAAGAATAATTTTTTATTAACCGACCAATCACATCAAATCAAACCAAATTACATAAATTCCAAATTACACAGCCGAATTTTAAATTTTTGTTGGGGGTACCCATATTTCAAGTTCCGAAGGAGATCCAATCAACTTCTTGCTTCTTACTGCTGTTTTAATGTCCACAAATCTAACCTTATGATGTTCACAGTACTATCCAGTCCTTTCTTATTGTTTTTCCACATCTCTTGTTGTTATTTTCATATATTTTTCCTTTCTCTTTGTGACCTCTGATAGTCTCCACAAGCTGGTTAGAACAGTTTGTAATCCTGCGTGGATATATATTTTTTTTATCCAGTAGCCATATCCAGACGTTTTCCATATAACATCACTTCCAACATCATTACATCAAAACAGTCTTAGTGTCATTAATCTTCACCAATCTGCCTCCTTTCTCAAAACCTCTGAGGAGATTCACTAGGAATGCAGTCTGAAAATAAGTTCGTTCCTCCTCCCGGCTATAAATCCTTTGGCAAGATGGCGACTCCGAATTAATTGCTGCGCCATTCCAAAAGCTCTTATTGCTTCTCAATCTCCATAAAGCATACTTTTGGTTAAAGTTTATCTCCACACAGACCTTAATCATCCTGCTTGGGTCAGTTCAACCGACGATTCTAATGAGGAGGGGTTCTTGTAAATCACATAGAAGGAAAGTAAAAAAGGTTGTCCCCCCATTCAGTCCCGTTGTCAACATACCCAGCCTTTGGTGTATCTTCATCGTAAAATATTCCTGTTTCTCCAACCCGTCGTCTTCTTTCGCAGAGGTCACTTAAAATAACAGACTTCACTCCCCTTCTTCACTTGAAATATGTGCATTTGCTTCTTTTGTAATTAATTATTACAAATTGCTGCAGCTAGTGCGCGATCAGAGACAGCGTCCAGGAGAGCCGAGGTCCACACGGGGGCATTCTGCCTAGGGCCCTCACCCCCTTCTTTCGAATTAGGGGGTGATTTATGGGCACAGCAGGCAAGGGCAGTGTTCCCCATTTCCTTGGGGCAACAAGGGAGGCTGCCTACTCCCATAACAGCCTCTTAATTACCCCGTGTGGGTCAGAGAGATGGTATTGTCGGCCATCTTCCAATGCACCCCCTAGTGGCCCCCCTTTTATTAAAACATTTATTTAAAAATTACAGCTCTGTCCACTGCTGCCAAAATATCACAGAATGATCACTCCAATCCTGAATCCCACATCACCTTCATGTTGGCTCACCAAATATCCTCAAATATCCTGGTATGTGTAGGGATACATTGGTGCAAATTGCTCAATTTTAAAGTGTTATTGATAGGAAATAAAACACCATCACCACCTGCACTTGCAGTTCTGGAAGCAGATTTATACAGGAACTGTGCAAAGATACCACAGGAGTAACTAGCAACAACAGCCCTGGTCTCAATGTTCCTTTATTCTGGAGTGTTCAAGGGGCTCCATCAGAAATGTCACTATTCCAAAATTCTGGATGCAGTGAGCATCCAGTGAGCAACACGAAGCAGAATATTATTTATTTATTTCATTTTTAAGTGCCACAATTCTTCCTAAAAGAGCCTGGAGCAGTAATCCGCAAAGCAAAGGAATTGTGAATAATATAAGTAAAAACATTTCAAAACAACCACATGTCTCCACGGCAAATGATAGAAACTTTGGTAGAGCTGGAAGGGACCCAAGGGTCATCGAGTCCAACCCTCTGCAATGCAGGAATCTCGGCTAAAGCATCCATGGCAGATGGCCACCCAACCTCTGCTGAAAACCCTCCAAGGAAGGAGAGTCCACCACCTCTCATGGGAGTCTGTTCCACTGCCTAACAGCTTTTACTGCCAGATAGTTTTTCCGAATGTTTAGTCGGAATCTCCTTTCTTGTAACTTGAAGCCATTGCCTCAAGTCGTACCCTCAAAAGCAGTAGAAAACAAGCTTGCTCCATCTTCCATACCATTTTAAGGTTTCCAGGAGCAGTATCTTTCAGCCATTACATGCCTCAGTAAACAGAAATCTTTTATAAATCGCTCCTGTATGTGATGGTGATGATGATGATGTTAATAAGAAACTTTTTATTATTTATATGTCTCCTGTTTGATTGGATTGTTGTTAATAACGGAGGCAGTAAGATGGAGGGAGGCAGTAACAGGAACTTCCCACTGCAACCAATACTGATTCAAGCACACGCATGTGTGATCTTTATTACGCCTATTATGCCTAAGTCCCATGCTAATGTTGACTCTGTATCTTTTGCAGCAAACCTGGCTACCACTGACATAATTTTCTTAGTGTGCTGCGTTCCCTTCACCGCCACGCTCTATCCCCTCCCCAGCTGGGTGTTTGGGGACTTCATGTGCAAATTCGTCAACTATTTGCAGCAGGTGAGCTTGAATGGTGGAAGAATCTATGTGTGATATTTTAGTGGATTTACGATATTACGTGTGTTGCAGTGAGGGCGAGTGTCTGTGCACTGTATATATACACATGTGTGCAGCTGTTTGGGAACAGTGCCTTTCCCATGAAGGGGGTAGAGGTGAGTGCTGGAGTCTACAGGAACAGCTCATATGGTCTCCCTTTGCCAGTTGTTTCTCTTCTCACCAGGTGACCGTGCAGGCTACGTGCATCACTCTGATGGCGATGAGTATGGACCGCTGCTATGCCACACTGTACCCACTGCAATCACTCCGTTATCGGACCCCCCAGGTAGCCATGGCAGTCAGCTTTGCGATCTGGATTGGTGAGTGAGGGCAGCAAAGTCTATGAACACAAATTTATGGGGAAGAAAGGGGCTGGCGCTTGCTTGATACGGAGGAGCCAGGTAAGCTTAAATTTGGTATTCCTGACATCAGGCTTGTCACTCAGCATCTAAGCAAGAACCAGCTTCTTTATTGACTCTTTGGTGTACATATTTACTTTGGTCAATCAAGAAGAAGTTGGTACTTGCTTAGATGATAATACCAACTTCTTAATAGACCAAAATAGCTAATTTCATGGGCTACAGTCCACTTCATCAGATGCATAACATGCAACCCTCTGCTAGCAGGGATTTTTACATGTGGGTATACTTAACCGTCTAGGAGTCCTTTACCCTTTCTCTTTTTTTAACCTTTTATAGAGAATAATCATACACAGTGAGGTCAGAGAGTAATGGGGTGCAAAAAATACAGATTGTCATAATTTCTTTAAAGCACACATGTGTGTAAGATGGGTGCAGTAACCATTCATAAATCCAGTTACAGATAGGTAGCCGTGTTGGTCTGCCATAGTCAAAACAAAAAAATTCCTTCCAGTAGCACCTTAAAGACCAACTAAGTTAGTTCTTGGTATGAGCTTTCGTGTGCATGCACACTTCTTCAGATACACTGAAACAGAAGTTGCCAGATCCTTCTATATAGTGAGAAGGTGGGGAGGGGTATTACTCAGAAGAGTGGTGGGAATGGGTGATTGGCAGATAGCTGTGATGAGCCTGTTGACGACTCTTAACGACTGCAATAGGTCTTGCAGGAAAAAGCAAGGGGTGAGAAGGTGAAAAATGGCTTTGTCATGTATAATGAGATAAGAATCCAATGTCTTTGTTCAGATCAGGTCTCTCCATGGTTTTAAGTTTATATAGCAAACAGTCCATTGTATATAGCCAGGCACTACGTTACAGCCGTATCTGTTCCAATTCTACAGACAGAGACTCTCACCTAAGAGATCTACAGCAAACCTTTTTAGAACTAAAATACCCAGCAGATGAAGTTAGACAACAGATCAACAGAGCCAGACTGATACCCAAAGAGAACTTGCTGCAAGACAGACCCAAAAAAGAAAATAACAGAACACCTCTAGTCATCACATACAGCTCCCAAGTCAAAACAGTACAACGCATCATCAGAGATCCACAACCTCTCCTGGACAATGACAGTTCTCTTTCTCAAGCTCTGGGAGAAAGACCTTTCATTGCCTACAGACAACCACCCAATCTTAAACAACTCCTAACCCACAATAATACTACAACCAGACTTAACACGGACACTGGCACCAGAGCCTGCAATAAACCCAGATGCCAACTTTGCTGCCACATACACCCGGACAACACCATTACTGGCCCCAACAACATCACACATACCATCTCGGGACTATTTAATTGCTCATCATCTAACATTGTGTATGCCATCAAATGCCAACAGTGTCCTTCAGCTCTCTATATTGGACAAACAGGCCAAACCTTACGCCAAAGAATAAACGGACATAAATCTGACATCAAGAATCACAAGACAGAGAAACCAGTAGGAGAACACTTCAATCTCCCAGGACATTCTATACAAGATCTCAAAGTAGCTGTTTTACTACAAAGGAATTTCAGAAATAGACTGGAAAGAGAAGCTGCTGAATTGCAACTCATTACCAAACTTAAAACCATGGAGAGACCTGGTCATTATACATGACAAAGCCATTTTTCACCTTCTCACCCCTTGCTTTTTCCTGTAAGACCTATTGCAGTCGTTAAGAGTCGTCAACAGGCTCATCACAGCTATCTGCCAATCACCCATTCCCACCACCCTTCTGAGTAATACCCCTCCCCACCTTCTCACTATATAGAAGGTTCTGGCAACTTCTGTTTCAGTGTATCTGAAGAAGTGTGCATGCACATGAAAGCTCATACCAAGAACTAACTTAGTTGGTCTTTAAGGTGCTACTGGAAGGAATTTTTTTTGTTTTCATTCATAAATCAGTATTGATAACAGAAACACAATGACATTGGGAAGTTAATTAACACCTGCAGTATGTTAAGAAATAAGCAGGCTATAAGCAGAATTGGTGGTTCCAGTGTCTTCACTGGCACTAATGTTCACTTCAGTTGCTGTCAAAATCCTGGTCTCACCTTTTCTTCACAGGCCCACTCCTATTTACTATAAAACAGGATCTGCCTTAATCACATGGTATCTAGATAAGGCCTGGTTTGTTTACTGTTGCTCATTGACGTTATTTTGATCTCTGCAGGTTACAAGATGGAGCATCGCTACATAGGAGCCTGACATCTGTGTCTTTGACCCCCTAGGTTCCTTCATTCTCTCATTGCCCATGGCTGTGTACCATCGCACTGAGGTCGGCTACTGGTACGGCTTGCGCACCTACTGTATTGAGGCATTCACCAGCAAGAGCCAGGAGCGCATCTTCATTCTATACACTTTCTTAGCTGTCTATCTGTTGCCCCTCCTCACGATCTGCCTTTGCTACTCTATTATGCTCAAGCGCCTTGGACGCCCTGTGGTGGAACCCATGGACCATGATTACCAGGTAAGTCGGTGGACAGAAATTGAATGGTCACCCTGTTTCTTGTTGGGCTTTCACAACTCTGTCACCCTATACACGTCACAGGCAAATTTTCAATTTCGCTATTCTAAAGGAGGCCTATGAAATCTATACCAAACTGCTGAAAGACAGGCAAAGTACTAAACACCTAGGGGAGGAGTCAACTAACAAGCCCTGTCAATGGGGCTGGATTAACCATTACGCAAAAGACACATGTGCTTAGGGCATCAAGGGAAGGGGGGGGGGGTCACGACAAAAAATTTCCATTGCTGAATTTACCATGGGCCATATGGTGCAGCTGGGGAAAAAATGGCCTCCACAATAAATGAAAAAATTACATATATATCTGTGCAAGAATAAAAAGAAATAATAATAATAATAATAATAATAATAATAATAATAATAATAATAATAATAGAGATTAATGATATACAACAAAATATATAACAAAATTAAAATCTGGTAAACTGCCACTTGGTCCACCAAGGCTCACATGTTTATATTTTGAATTAGATATATATGGGGGCACCAAAATCTTTTAAGTGCTTAGGGCCTCTAAAGGTCTTAATCTGGCCCTGCCTGTCAACATAAGTCCTGCACAAGGACTGATTTTTATTATATTTTTATTTTTTATTGTATTTTAAATATTTTGTTCAAGGCCTCCCAGAGTAGCTGGGAAAACCCAGCCAGATGGGTGGGGTATAATTTATTATTATTATTATTATTATTATTATTATTATTATTATTATTATTATTATTATCATCATTCCACTTGCATAATGGGGCTTTCCCGCCTCCCCTCCAGGCCTCCTGTTTGGTGGGTGGTGATTAGGGGGGGTCGGGAGAACCCTTGGAACAAGGCGTGTGGGGCGGAGAGAGGGGGTCATTCCACCTGCTAAGCCGAAAGGCTTTCACTGATCGAACAAGTAGAAGAGCAGGACGTCAAATTCCTCCCCTATTCTCTTATCATGTAGCAAGTTTCCAAAAAGGGCAACTAAAATGATCAAGGGGTTGGAGCAGCTCCCTTATTGGGGGCTTTTCAGTTTAAAAAAATGATCGGGGGGGCATGATAGAAATTTATAAAATCATGAATGGCATGGAGAAAGTAGATCTCCCTCTCTCATAATGCTGTGTGGGCAGAGTGCTGTTACCCACATGTCCTGTTTTCAGGCTCCCAATAGGCATCTGAGAACAGGACGCTGGGTTTAGATGGGCCTTTGGTGTGATCCACCAGGACTCTTCCTATTCTCTTACACTGGGTGGATCACCTGTGACTTTTCTGTTCAGTCCCAGCAGGTGCAACACATGTCTGAGCGCTCAGCTGCCATGAGGGCCAAGATTTCCAAGATGGTGGTGGTGATTGTGCTGCTGTTCACCATTTGCTGGGGTCCTATCCAGCTTTACTTGCTCTTCCAGGGCTTCTACCGCCACTTCCAGGCCAACTATGAGACCTACAAGATCAAGACGTGGGCCAATTGCATGTCATATGCCAACTCGTCTCTCAACCCCATTGTCTATGCTTTCATGGGAGACAGCTTCCGCAAATCCTTCAAGAAGGCGTTCCCCTTCCTGTTCCGGCAGCGGGTTGGGGACAACGGCGTGCACTCAGGCTGCCGCAATGCGGAAGTGAAATTTGTCATGGAGGGAACTTAACCCTTTCGCCTGACCTGGCTTCCATCATGAACGATTCTGCCTGGTCTGTGCTGCCAAAGGATGCTGAGAAGGACAAAGACGATAGAGAAAGATGACCTGTGTCTTACAGGTAGAAATTCGTGGTTATTTCAATACAATAACCAGAACACTAAGGATTTTAGTTCATCAATACACAGTAATAATGACTTGGGGAAGGTCTGATTGTGGATTTTAGTTTTAACTTAAATGATGCAGGAATCTGAACCGAAGTGCTATGCCACGAGATTAGCAGAAGGAAGCCTCTTTTTGTGTTTGTGGAGTGGATAACATGAGTGTACTCTGCCTTCTTCAGCACATGGTTTTGTGTTTGGCGCCCCATCTTGGATTTATCCTGGAGCCTCAAATGTAAGAATAAAGCTTTTTCAAACTGCATTTCCTCCGAGGCTTAAATACATTTAAAACCTGTGTTTCCCAAGTTCTACTCATCCAGCACTGTAACCACTACACCACACTGCCACAGGGCCAGCAGCATAGGTTACATTGTCCATACCACTGCAGACAGACATTAGATAGTAGCAACCTCCTTTTAAGATGTTTCACCTTTCTCCTGCCGTGAAGATGGGATAATCCAGAGGTCAAAAAGCACAAAATGTTCCTTCTTGTCATTCTCATTAGAAGGTGTCGCTTAGGCAGGTTGAAGTGAGCAGTAGCCACAATAATTTCACCCGAAGTTCTGGAAAATTACATTATCAACAGCTATTGCTCCTCCTGGTGGGTTCATTCCGCACATGGTTCTGTGTTCTCAAGGGCCACCTACTGGACGATGTTTCAGACTGCAGTCCTGTTGCTTATATGGGAACGCAGTGAGGCTTCTCAGTAAAGATGCCTGGGATTGTGCTGTTAATACCCAATTAATCTGGAATGCACATTTTAAAAAGGTCCAAACTAAGCACATTGGTGCCCAAAGAAAAACTGCTTTTATATAGCCATTGTCAACACTGTGTTAAGATGTAAGTAGTCAACCTTAGGGCTGCCATGCGGGTTTTCCTTTAAAGAAGCTCTACAGTTTTGGGTGGTCCTGGTTTTTACTTTTTGAAATATGGCAACCATAGTTGGCCTCCTTACTGCGCTGCAGGTTCTATGGAGAAGGAAAAGGTTTTTGCAGACCAGGAAGAATCCATGTGGGGTTTTGTGAGTGCATATATGTGCATCTGTTTCTGTTCATCAACTTCCTGTTGCCCCTTGTATAACTCAGCAGGAAGGAGGAGGAAGAGAGAAGAACTAGAACTGGTTCGCTACACTGGTCATTGGCTCTGGCTGCACCTACTCTTACTCTCTCTGCCTTCTGTCCTGCCAGTTCTAATGGGCACCAGCCATTACTGTTAGTTATCACAGTAGGTAAGTATAAGATCCTATGCACACTGACTTAGAGTGTGCATTAGATTCAGTAGGACTGATTTATAAGAAAACATGCATAGAAGTGGGGTTATGTCAGTAGCCCAGTCAGAAACCAGGAACCATAGGGATTACATGAACAGGAGATTGGAAACATGTGTCTGTGGTTGTCCTGGAGCATATTCTCTGTAGCTTGCAAAGCTCCTCACTTTGCTTGGCTAATGTGCCTAACATCTTTACAACCCACAGAGAAGGTATTCCAGAACAACTAAAGGTGCAGGTACCTGATTTCCTATAGCCAGTAAGTGGTTTATTTGCATGTTTATAAAATATTTAGAGCCTATGTCTGAACTTTCATTTTCAAGGCAGTTTATACAACACTTCTTCTTCTTCTTCTTTAAACACATTAAAAGAGGAATAACAGAACCGAAACGTAAAAGCAGAATAGTACAGTAAAAAAAAAAAAAAGAATTATACAGGCAATAACTACGGAGGCCACTTTCATATCATCAAGGAAGTGCATTAGCTGGAAAAGAATAATAATGAGAGCCCAGTTTTGTAGACTTCCTAACTATGGCGGAGGTATATTGTATTTCTGTTTAAATTGTAGTCATTATTTCTAAATTTGCATGTAGAAGAGGACGTGTAGAGATGCAAATTTGGAAATAATGAGTACAGTTTAAACAGAAATACAGTGCATATTATCCAGATTTCATCTCCATTTTAAATGCATTTTGAACACATTTTAACACTGCCAGCCACCAAATAAAGGGGACAGTCCCTGAAAGTCATGCAAAACCTTAAACTTTTTATATCCTTCATTGTGTGGTTTGAAGAAGAAGAGGAGGAGGAGGAGGAGGAGTTTGGATTTGATATCCCACTTTATCTATACCTGAAGGAGTCTCAAAGCAGCTAACATTCTCCTTTCCCTTCCTCCCCCACAACAAACACTCTGTGAGGTGAGTGGGGCTGAGCAGTGGCGTAGCGTGGGGGGTGCATGGGGGGCCGGCCGCACCGGGCGCAACATCTGGGGGTTAGGGTTAGGGGGCGCAAATCCACGGGTTAGGGGGCGCAAATTACTTGCCTTGCCCCGGGTGCTGACAACCCACGCTACGCCACTGGGGCTGAGAGGCTTCAGAGAAGTATGACTAGCCCAAGGTCACCCAGCAGCTGCATGTGGAGGAGCAGGGACGTTTACCAGATTATGAGTCTACCGCTCTCCAGTGTGAACTCCATTGGGGGACAGGACCTGGGAGAGGAAATTAATATGGTTAAGGTGGAGTAAGATCTGGCCCTCAAAACCATTTTCTTCAGTTTCAACCACCATTACAGAAAATTCAATGAAAATAATTCACAGTTGTTTTCTCATGTCTGCATGGATGGGGATCACTTTTAGAAACCAGGTAACAAGTTCTGTTGGTGTAATCGTGGAGCCATAGGGACATATTGGCACCTTTGGTGCCCCTGCCCATCAGTTCGCACTTTCTGGTCCACTGTAATAGCAGAAATTAGCACTATTATTGGTAATGCGGTACAGGCAGACCTGGCTTTGTGCCACCTACCTATATTCAAAGGCAGTAACTTCTCTGTCATGCTGAAACTCTTTATTATCTATCTGATAATGGCTGCTCAGCTCATAGTGGCCCAGGGGTATAAGGGTTGCTCAAACATCACAGCAAATAATTGGATTAGGGTTGCTCAAACATCACAGCGAATAATTGGATTAGGGAAGCTCTGCACATTGCAGTCTTGGAAAAACTCAGGCACCATCTAAGAGTTGGGGGGGCAAAAAACCAGAGGATTTTGCAGCTGTTTGGTTGATTTTTATGACTTTTACTTACCTGTAAATGGAAACATTAATGACTCTTGTCATCATTTGATTGGGCTTTATAATAACAGACAATTTTACCTATGTGGGTTCCACCATAACCAGCAAGCTTTCCATTGACGCTAAGATGGACATGTGTATTGGTAATGCAGCTATGGCAATGGTTTGCCTCTCCAAAAGGGTATGGGAGAATGTGGTGCTAATACCCAGTACCAAGATGAAGGTCTTCCCTGACTCTCTCTCTCTCCCCCAAAGCGATAGAACCTATTGCTCACCTGCTGCTTCTTCCGGGTATTTGTCTTTCAAGCCTAAGTTAAATGTTTCTAAATGACTATAATCCCTACATTGTGAATTATAGAATTGTAGATTTGGAAGGCACCCCGAGGGTCATCTTGTCCAGCCCCCTGTAATGCAGGAATCCTACCCACCAACCCTCTGGTTAACAGCCAGATGCACTGCCCCATTGCTTTGCACAGTCTCTGTACACGGCTGAAAGCTTTGTGCTTACTCACCTTTCGTTGTATACTGGTTTTCTTTATCTTGTTTCTCTCCTTTTTGTGTTGGACTAATCCAATTAAAAAGAAGGAAGGAAGGAAGGAAGGAAGGAAGGAAGGAAGGAAGGAAGGAAGGAAGGAAGAAAGAAAGAAAGACAATGCCTCTCACCCATAGTGGGGGAAACCAGGTTACCTATGTGCCTGCTCAGTCTGTTGCCAAGGTAAAAACCAGTGCATTTTTTCAGCCAGAGAGTGCTGGAACACAGTTCTGGCACCTCTTAGTTGGGTACCATTGAGGGACAGCGCTCCCCCTGCCTGCTTCTTGCCTTTACGTAACCTGGTTTCCCCCACTATGGGTGAGAGGCATTGTCTTTCTTTCTTTCTTTCCCTTCCTCCCCCACAACAAACACTCGGGGAGTGAGGCTGAGAGACTTCAGAGAAGTGTGACTAGCCCAAGGTCACCCAGCAGCTGCATGTGGAGGAGCGGGGACGCGAACCCGGTTCACCAGATTATGAGTCCACCACTCTTAACCACTACACCACACTGGCTCTGGCAGTGGCAGGGGCACATTTATTTGACCTGCACCAGAACCAGAATCAGCTAGGGAGACAACTTGCCATAGTTTTTCGCGCCTCTGCCTGTGGTGAACGAAGCTATTGTCAAACCAACATCTGTTCAGGGTTGCCATGTGTCGAACAGCAACTTACTGTAACAACTTCATGGTGAGTTCTGGCACCTATTTTCTTGAAAAAAAGCACTGGTAATAACCATTGATGGACAAAGTCATGGCCCCTTCTGCTCTTCTGCTCTCCCTTCATAGGCCCTTTAAATAGAGGCTGTCTCACAGCAGCCTCATAAACTTAAAAGATATAGAATGAAATTGGTATTAAGGAACATTTAAGCTTAGAACTGCTCCAGAGCCAAACATCACATCTTTTTAAAGGCTATGGGTCTATTAAGAGTAGGCATCAATAGTTTAATCTTCAGCTAATGTGTCATGATCAATGAGGTCTCCCCACCCCAATTTAATATTGGATATAGGCTAGGATGAGACTAAATGTTGGTGTTAATCTTGGCCCTTCTCCTGAAGTCTCTTCTCCCACCCGATACAGAACCTTGAAATGGCGGACTTTCACAGTATGCCTTTAGTAAGACTGTCTCCCAGTCCAACTCAGAAGGCAGATGACCTTCCATTAGCAAATATGACTGCTGGCTCTCATGGTTTCCAAGGCAACAAAAGGTGGATGAGGTTCAGGAACAATGCCTATCCCTTCTGATGACAGGGAAATTAGGTCAAGTACTCCAGAGTGACAAATGGTGCTTGAGCGTAAGGGTGTGAGTGACTAAAACGGGCTGGAAATAGAAAGCAATTTGCTGAACTCAGCCCCTACCTTTAGTCCTATTAGTATTTTAGAACAAGTGAAGGCAAGGGACATTTTGTTAAGACAGCAATTCAACTCGTGGTGTTCCTGTTCATGAAACTACTGATAATAATCCATCTTTCAGGGAGCTAAGGGGTCCAGAGCAATGCCACCTGAGATATGCAAAGTCTTGGGCTTTGGCAAACAGATTTGGGATGGTTAGCTAGCTGGAAGAACAGGAGAAACTCTACTGAAGGAGAAAAAAGAAGGATAATGGATCCAACTAGGGCATCTGTTGTAACTTTTAACCACCTCTCCTCTCACTTCCTTAAAACTGGGTAGGCAATTATGCAATAGGAACTGATTTCCTTAGAAACATTTACCACCCACACTGAACGGTTTTTTCCAAGTACCTCAGAAAAATTGTCATGAGTGCATGGCACCACTTCCCTAAGTGGCAAGACGTCAAGGGTTTAATTCCCTCTGAATGAGGTAGCATTGAAGACTTACCATTCCTTGAACATTTGTGAAAAAATTCTGCTGTGCAAAATGCTCCTGTTCGGTGATCCACAGATCCATGCCCCTTCCCATCATACTCCATGCCCTTCTTCACATGGCCAGTGGGCATGCCCAGTCCTCACTGGTCTTTTTTAATGAAAGGTGGTGGTGTTCTACTTTCTTAGGTTTCTCCCCTTACTTTGCAAACTTATGGTTTCCATGAGTATGCTGATACCTCCAGCTTGTTCCTTGGTAGACCTGTTTTGGCTACAGTTTTGTTGGTATGCAACACCTGCCTGCAGCTAGAAGTGATATATAAGCAGAGCTTTTTGGAAGCAAATAGACACTCCATCAGCAGGCAGATCCCTAAAGAAACTTTGGCAGCTTCCATCACCACAGCTGAACTCCATCTACAAAGTCTCAGCAGTCTGACCCTCTCTCTTTTGGGGCACATAAATGTGCTCACTCACAGGGACTGCTGTGCGTTTGTTTGTGGTTTAGCCACAGATCTACAAAATTTGATTTCAAATACCATCTGCAAAGATGATATTCAGTGAATTGTGAAATACAGTGGTATCTTGGTTCTCAAACGGCTTGGCTCCCAAACATATCAGCTCCCGAATGCCACAAACCTGGAAGTAAGTGTTCCGGTTTGCGAACGTTTTTTGGAAGCCGAACGTCCATTTCAGCTGTCGGCATTGTTTCCAGGGCCAATCAGCCAATCAGAAGCCACGCCTTGGTTTGTGAACGTTTTGGAAGTCGAACGGACTTCCAGAACAGATTGGGTTCGAGAACCAAGGTACCAGTGTACTCAGAATCCAATTCTTATTGCAACTATCTTATTCATTTGAAATACTTCTCAGTTTATGCCAGTCAAGAAGTATTTGCATTTGTAATTTGACCTAGTTTGAAGGGCAAAGATGAAACTTTGCATAGTGAAGCGAATCTACCCAATCCAGACTTCTAGACCCAGTACACAAGCACAAGACACAGCTACCCATTGAAATTTGCGCTTTTGTGATGCAGTTCTCTAACAACAATAACAACAGTATGTAAAAGAATGCAGACATTAAAAATATGTGCTAGTGATAAAAGCATATTAGGGAATATGCTGGCCAAAATGCATAGGCTGGGCACAACTGCATCCAAAACACATCAGGAGAAAAGCACAGGAAAATGCAAATAATTTTTCATGAACTTTAAAAATATTTACAAACTGATGCAGAAATAAGGGTGAATTAAGATTGGAAAAATTTGAAATGGGGAGAAACCAAAACTATGAGATTTGTCTATCTTTAACTCAGCATTTCTCAAGCAAGTTCCATACACAACAGTGTATTACTTTAGGCTCAGCTCAATTCCTTGAAATCAGGTAAGTATAATTTGAGCTTCTTCTTCTGTATTTTCATTTTCATTCTTTGCCTTCCCTTATTTTTACACGTTTGCATAATCATCCAGTCACATCCTGAGCTTAGGAAAGACCGAATCAAAGCCAGCACTGAACATTTTTCCTCTTTTTCCTCTTTCTTCTTTCATATTTTCAATATTAGTTCACATTGCCAGTTGAGCAGCGAGGCAATTTTCTCTCATTTCCCTCTTATTACTGAGGCACATTTCTAACATCCTTTTTTTTCTGGCTGAAATCCACTTTTGGAACTGTTTTTCAGTTTGCTGTTCCCTTGTTCTCGTGACATGCTTGTGCTATTTAAAGCCATATTTCTCTCGCCCTTCCCATTTCCTGTTTACTTCCTTTTCTTTCTTTTTTCAGTTTTCAGAGCATGATCCATTTCTGCCCCCAACAGTGATGTGGTGGAAGACAAGATGCAAAGTCTCTGCACAAACACACACAAGAAGGCCAAGAGCTGGTCGCCGGAAGCAGACACACCTGCTCTTTAGTGTTATACCGAATTTTAAAAAGACCATTCTCAGCTGTTTGCCCACCTCAAAATTGGCTGTTTTGTTTCTGCTCTGGAGATATACTTCCATAGCACTATAACAGCCATGTGAGACATATTCCTGTGCAACCGGCCATAGAAGTGCAAAGTCCGCCGTACATTGAAACTATGAACAGAGCACATACATAGACGAGCACATTACAGCTACATGCCGTAATTTTTCACAAATGACAATATAAAGCTTACAAAGTAACATGGAAATATATTGTTTCTTATGCTTGATATTTTTCACAAATGTAATGCAAAGGATGGGTGCAAGAAGTTTGTGAAGGAGCAATCGTATTGTTTTTCCAGGAGACAAATGTACAGTTTTCATTTTCTGTCTTCCGAGTTCTATAAAGAAAGAATAACATGCTTCATTTTTACTGGGAAAGAATGACCCAATTCTACAAGTGTCAGTTAAGGAACACACAAGGACACGTAGATTGCTTTCAACTGATGAGGATCCTTTAGCACTGGTGAGGCATTCATTGCCTTTCTGCAATCAGTGGGAAGCAGAATTAAAACGGTGGTCCTACATGACACTTTAGATAACGCTGTTTTCATTGGGCAAAGTTTCACTATATATTACTAATTCATTTTATTGGAGCATTTCCATCTGAGCTCTCCAATTCCAAAATGAAACACTCAAAGTGTCTAACATAAAGACAACCAATTAACGACAATAAACTCCTCCACTCCTGTAATTTGCAGGGAACAGGAAATGACTTATGAAGGACAATTCATGAAAGTCATGGCCATAGTGACTGAAAAGGAATCAACTAATTAGGAGGATGTGACTAATTAAAAAGGTACAATAACTCAAAAGTACTCTCCATAGTACTTTGCCAGTCCACACTAGACAGACTGGTGCTGCAATTGTATTTTTCAACAAAAAGAGGCCCTTATCAGGTCTGAATAAATTGGGAAGACAGCAGAGGAGCTCACATGGGCTGTCATTACAAATGAAATTTACACATAAAAAATTAGTGAACAAAGGAGGTCAATTCCAGTGAAAATAGGGTGGAAGTGACCTTAAAGGAAGGTCCAGATGAAGGATTTATTAGGTGTTGAATATGCTGATTCACTGCACAGGTAACAAAAAAATCCAGTCTCTCCCCCTCTCAATCACTTTAGGAGAATCTACATCTACATCTAGAAACCCTGTACTCCATTGCCTAGGAGAGAACAACTCATGTCGAAAGCATCACACACACAGAAGATGGACCACCACTGCTCTCCATCTGACATGAAACATCAGAAGGAAGTTGGCCCCATTCACACACCTTGTCACACCTCACTGGATTGTTGGCAAATGCTAATGATAAAATTTCCCTTGGTGGATATGATAAACCTCAGTGATGTTATATCCAGGAGAACTGGCTTCCTTTGGTTGGCCAATCCCCTTCCTAACTGATCAGCACTTCCCACCAACTGTAAAATCTTTCATTCTAATTGGGCAACTGGGTTCTCATTCTGCTATTTTAGAAATTTTCAATATATGCTATACTTTTATGTGGTTGTTTGGAAACTTGCCTTGATCTAAACCAGTGCCTTAGATCTCTTTGGTCACACTGGGCTAACATGTAAGTGTTTTGTTCTGCTGGAGGCTACACACAGCAGAGAGGAGTGTTTTAGTTCTTATTTCCTGGAATCTTGCAGGAGTCTGGCATCTCCCGGGTCTGAGTTGGGGGTGGATTGTTAACAGGAGTGGTGACAGCCTATCGGTTTGGGGGTTTTGATTGACACTGAACCCCTTAACCTTTACAGGTCTGTGCTGTAAGTTCCTACAGAAACATCAGGAGGTGGAAACAATTACCTGCTGTGACAATTTACTTAGGGAAGCACGGGTAGGTTTGTCATCTCTCGAATAACGTTTGGTGCCCACCTAAAGGCTTGGTTCTCAGTATTTTTAATGTGATAACTTCTCCATAAAAAGACTCCTCTGGAGCATTCTGATATGACGGACCAGCTTTCTGAGTGCTTTGGTTAGTCAAAATTACAACTTGCCATATCTAGGGCTTAACCCACACTAGTAGGGTTTCTCAAGAAAACTGAGATATACTGAAGGCTCATCCATACTTCTGCTTGCTCCGAATTAGAGCTAAAGAGCAGGTTTTCTGGGGGAAAGTGGCGGGGCAAAGGCAAAACCACTAGATTTATGCCTAGAAAGCATGGGACCAGCAGAAGATCACTCAGAGCCATGTTTTCTAGGCACAGGACAAGAAGCAGGATGGGCCCTGAGATCTCAGGATCTCTGGGGAAAATAAACTTGTGGTGAATTCATCACACAAACTAAGGGTTGTATACATTGGCATTCATATAATTGCTCTACCTAGCCCACACTGGTCTTTGTTCTGACTCTCTCTGTTCTGGAGCTTAATGGATACCTACAGCCCATGATGTGACCCTTGTCAGCTGATTTCATAATGTTCTCTTTTGAAAAGTGCAGCACACATTTGCAGCTTCATGTGGTCATAAAATTCTTGTGAGCAGATAGGAATTTGGAGAGGAGACCAACAGCAGTAAATGAAGCTTACTTACCTGCCAGTCACTTTATTCTGTTCTCCTTCAGGGATGTCAACCCAGTATTCAGAATTATTTCCAAGGTTCAGATTGACCTCCTTGATCTAAGGAGACATGATGATGATGATGATGATGATGATGATGATGATGATGATTGTTATTGAATTTATATACCGCCCTATACCCAGAGGTTCCAGGGTGGTTCACAGAAAAGATAAACATAAAATCCACAATATATATATAACCACTGGGACGCAGGTTGCACTGTGGGTTAAACCACAGAGCCTAGGACTTGCCGATCAGAAGGTCGACAGTTCGAATCCCCGCGACAGGGTGAGCTCCCATTGCTCGGTCCCAGCTCCTGCCCACCTAGCAGTTTGAAAGCACGTCAAAGTGCAAGTAGATAAATAGGTACCACTCCAGCGGGAAGGTAAACAGCATCTCCGTGCGCTGCTCTGGTTCGCCAGAAGTGGCTTAGTCATGCTGGCCACGTGACCCGGAAGCTGTACGCCGGCTCCCTTGGCCAATAAAGCGAGATGAGCACCGCAACTCCAGAGTCAGTCACGACTGGACCTAATGGTCGGGGGTCCGTTTACCTTTATATATAACCACAATAAAAACAACAACCCAATAACACGTCCCCCCATAAAAGAGCCACATTTTAAAAGGGCATAGGATGTCAATCAGATCAACCAAAGGCATGGTTAAAAAGATTTTTGCCTGGTGCCTAAAGGTGTATAATGAAGGTGCCAGGCGAACTTCCCTGGGGAAAGCATTCCACAGACGGGAAGTCACTGTAGAGAAGGCCCGTTCTCATGTTGCCACCCTCCTGACCTCTCAAGGAGGAGGCACATGAAGAAGGGCCTCAGAAGATGATATCAGGGTCCGGGTAGTTCCATATGGGAAGAGATGGTCCTTGAGGTATTGTGGTCCTGAGTCGTTTAAGGCTTTATAGGTAAAAACCAGCACTTTGAATTGGGCCCAGAAACTAATTGGTAGCCAGTGTAGTCGGACCAGGATCGGTGTAATATGCTCAAACCGTCTTGCTCTGGTGAATTCTGCACTTGCTGAAGTTTCTGAATTGTCTTCAGAAAGCAGGAAAGGTCAGATCAGTGTCTGCTCTTTGCCCTCCCCCTCAATCCAGAAGAGTGTAATCAACACTAAAAAGGAACTGCAAGTTACCCTCCAAATTAGGACCTCTGAGATAGCTCTGGGCTATAGCAACTGCACCTTTAATTTAACGAACTAAATGAGATTGACTGAGTGCTCACTAATGGTTCCTTGTCATCCTGGAAAAAAGGGACAAGTGGGTTGCCATAGGGTTCTGTGCTGGGTTCATGGTTCTTCAACGTCTTTATAAATAACTTAGATGAAGGAATTAAGGGGATGCTCATCCAATTTGCAGATGATACCAAACTGGGAGGGGGAGCCAATGCCACAGAAGGCAGAATCAGGATTCAAGATGGGCCCAAACTAACAGAATGAAATTCAATAGGCTCAAATGTTAAGTTCTACACTTAGGCAGGAAGAATCAGCTGCACAAATATAAGATGGGGGGACAACTTTGGGTTACGAACTTAATTCGTTCCGGAGGTCCGTTCTTAACCCGAAACCATTCTTAACCTGAGGCGCGCTTTCGCTAATGGGGCCTCCCGCTGCTGCCGCGCCACCGGTGCGCGATTTCTGTTCTCATCCTGGGGCAAAGTTCTCTACCCGAGGTACTACTTCCAGGTTAGCAGAGTTTGTAACCCAAAGTGTTTGTAACACGAAGCTTTTGTAACACTGTAGTACATATGAAAAGTATCCAGGAGTCTTGGTAGACAACAGCTGAACATGAACCAGCAGCAGCAGCAGCAAAAAACAAAAAATAAAACAGCTAATGCTATTCTAGGCTGCATCAACAGAACTATATTGTCCAGATCAAGGGAAGTCATAGTCCAAGCAGAAGTGTGGATTAGCACTCAGCTTGAATTTGTTCTTATTTGTGATATAAAGTTGCTTTATATAACTAGTTCATACTATTCTATTTTGTATAATTTTGATATTTAGATCCCATTTTTTGTGGGTGGGTTGGGACATATTTCTTCTTTGCTGGGTTCAGCATCCCACAGTGGCCAATGAAGTGCCTTCAGCACATTTGGCAGTGTTCAGGAAACAAATGGCAGGAGAAAGTTGGGAAGCGAGAATCTGAGTAAAATTCTGGGCAGGGGAAAGGTCACACATGGTACATAAGAGGCTGCAATTGTAGGCCACTACTGTACCTAGGAATAGAGGTAAGTAAAGAAGTAGCAGATGGATCATCACAGAAAACTATGAGGATCAAGAATGGGAAGAACAGTGTGTGTGTGTCCTGCATCACTGAAATCTAATTAATTCTCTATGCAATAAAAAAGTAAAGGTAAAGGTACCCCTCCCCGTACGGGCCAGTCTTGACAGACTCTGGGGTTGTGCGCCCATCTCACTTAAGAGGCCGGGGCCAGCGCTGTCCGGAGACACTTCCGGGTCACGTGGCCAGCGTGACAAGCTGCATCTGGCGAGCCAGCGCAGCACACGGAAACGCCGTTTACCTTCCCGCCAGTAAGCGGTCCCTATTTATCTACTTGCACCTGGTGGTGCTTTCGAACTGCTAGGTTGGCAGGCGCTGGGACCGAGCAACGGGAGCGCACCCCGCCGCGGGGATTCGAACCGCCGACCTTTCGATCGGCAAGCCCTAGGTGTTGAGGCTTTTTACCCACAGCGCCACCCGCGTCCCTATCTATGCAAGGTAGCCAACAATTAGTTCCAGGAAAGTCACCAATGCTCACCGCTTCAGCCGTTGCCAGGGGCGCACTTCGCCTACTGCAGTCCCTCCGTGCCTCTGCCCAGGTATGTTTATGAATGGAGATGTAAATGCACTTTGTCTGGTACTTCTGAAAGTCCCCTGGACACTGAGGAATAACTGAAACACACAGAGCCCTGGGATAAGAAACCATGGTACTGGAACGATTCTATGTACTAATCATGAAAGCTCCAGATCTTAGCATAGCTTGCTAGTCATACTCATCCATCCAAAACTGAGCTCCCCATTCTATACTGTTCAGTGCTTAATGCTGTGGATGTTTGCACATTTATATATTACAAATGTATTCTACCCAGCCCAGCAGAGAGTACATGAGGTTTTGATCCATTGCCCATGGATCGTCACAACAGGCTGTGGGTTTAACCTATAATTCAGCCCTGTCCTTCCTCTATTCCTTTGGGCTGTACAGCTGCTAACACCATCTTTCCTCTAACAACTTGGCTACTGTTCTTCCAGTGTACATGCCGGTGCTCCAGCAACATAGCTGAACTATCCTCAGAAACCCAAGGCAGCTAGCTATCCTCTCAAAGAGCCAAATCTGTATTTGAATATTTAATCAACTGGTCCTTGACAACTTCACACATACACAATAGTCCCATGAAAATCACATCGGGAAGTGACCCCATCAGCTGTCCACAGCAAAAGGCTTTGATTCTGTGTATCAGAGATGGTGAACCTGTGGCCCTCTAGATGCTAGTAGAGTACAACTCCCATCACCCTAACCACTTGCTGGCTGAGGCTGACAAAGGTTGGAGGCCAACAGCATCAGGAGGGCCACAGACAGAGGCGGATTTAAGGGTACTCAACTGGTTTGTCCACACTGGGTGCCGAACCAAGAGGGTGCCACATTTTCTCAACTCCTCCTCACAACACACCTCTTGCACTAACATCAATTAGTACAATGCCTCCTGAACGTCTGATAAGTGCACTTTTTTCTGGAGAGAAGCTGAAGGTACATTTCATTCTTACATCCAAGAAGGGTTCATACATGAGCATGCTCAAAGTGAGAACTTCCTTTATCCACGCAAGAAGCCCAACTGCTGCATTTCCATCTGAGTGGCTCTGGGCCTGCTGCATTAGCAGTGAATGATCAGACAATGCAGAAAAGTGTGGTAACATGACTCGCCCCATTCTGGTGGGGCTGAATGAAAGAAGGCAAGAACTGTACATAATGTGGAAGCACAGTGGGCTTCCTCCTCTGGGAGTGGGTACTTTAGGCTAGCAGGAATCCTATTTTTTTTAGTCTATTTCCTGTGGCACATTAACAGTTCCTCTCACAGTATAAAGTATGAGAATGTTTAGACTAAAATGACCAGCGGCATAGGATGATGTGCCCTTCCGGGTCCTCTGTTGAACTTACATTTCAGAAAGGCCAGCACAAAGGCAGCTGACGCTATTAACAGGGAAACAAACACCAAGATGTAGAGGGTGATGATAGACGCTCTCCGACAACAGCAGTCTGTATGATCAGTAAATCTGGTGGGTGTGGGCACACCTGCAGATAACCAATAAGAGTGACTATTATAGCACACACACAAAAATAGCTGGTATCATGGAGTAAGGGGCCAGATGTGACCTGTACATATGTAAAAGGCATGTGTATATGAGATGACATGCTTAAGTGCAGCCCACTTCCTCCCCCCGCTACACGTGCGGTGGATGGGAGATGGTGGGATCTGTAGTTCAAAGATGAGGTGGAGTGATGGAGGGTGATACTTACGGTAACCCCCCCCCCCAATGTATATTGACAGGCCCGTGCAGAGGGAGGGACACAGGTGGGTATACTTGCCCTGGGCCTCGGAGGTCTAAGCCAGCTGAAGGTGGGGTGGGCAGGGACTGGCTGCTTTTTTGTTTATAGCTTTATTCTATCAAGACTCCTGCCCCGTGCCTCAGACAAGCTCTCCGTGGGCCTGTTAAGTGGTGCCTCAGACCACCAACTTCCATGTCTTCTAGGCTCAATCCTTCTGAAAGGACAGATGGGCCTAGTGTGTACAGCAGGCAGATAAGCACCAGGCATCCTGATATATGATCTGTAATAGGTGGTGTTTGATCAAAGCAGGAGGAGGGGGGCTTCTGGGGTGGGTCATCTGAGGGAGGTACGTTCAGGCACCATTCTTTCTAGAAAAAAAGCACTGCTTATAAGAAAACAATATGTTTTGAATGTGTTATAAAGGTACAGTGTGCACACAGCCTGAATTTAAGGGAGGTGTATCACTCAAGGACACATCCATTCTACCTTTCTCCACGAAGCTGACCTATCAGCATCAGTGAGTCATTTAACGAAACATCCTCTTGGTTAAAAATAATGGAGGCCTTGGAAAGATGTCAACATGGTGTGGTCACTCAACTCACGATCTGCTTCAACCTACTCCCCCAGTAGGATAGTTTGTTTATTTGTTGGGAAATGATCTAGGTGAGCAATTACTTAAACAGGTTCTAGTGGGCCCTTTGGATTGGGTGATAGGCATTGTGGCATTTCCACAGCGCACGCAATGGCTTCTTCCCAATCCCCAAACCAGATTGAGGCCATAGACATTATTGTACGTACTGTTAAGAATCACTTACCTGTATCTGCTTTCTGTGTTTGTTGTGGGGTTGGCTGTTGCCATCTCAGCAAATGGGGAGGTGCAACATTCTCATAATCCCTTTCAGATGGGGCCAAACTTTCTATGGAATCTAGAGAAAGAAACAGTAGCTAAGGGGTGGCATTAAAATCCACACACCCTTTGAAAATCATCACTTACTGTAGTCTGTTTATGCCAGGCATGTCCAAAGTCTGTTTCGGGGGCCTAATTTGGCCCCTGTGGCAGTTTATTTGTTTATTTCGTGGGGTAAAAAACCTCAACAACTTCTAATAGGTATGAGAATGATTACTATGAGAACAGTCACTATCCCACTTGTTTTATCCTTTGGAGAATGTTCTATGAGCTGGGGTAGAGTGTTGTTGTTTAGTCGTTTAGTCGTGTCCGAGTCTTCGTGCCCCATGGACCAGAGCACGCCAGGCACTTCTGTCTTCCACTGCCTCCCGCAGGGGTAGAGTAGGTAATAAGTTTTAAAAAATTCTTCCGCTTCTTTCCCCAGCCCTCATATTCTCATATAATGCAACTGTTTACTACATGGCTAACCAACAACCTTAAATCCACATCTCTGTGCTAGGTTGCTCACTGATACTGGTGTGCAAAGTTGACACAGAACACTTCAATGGGAATTAGTAATTATCTTGTTTTTATTTCTTAAAGCAAAAACAACTACTGTATTTTTTGCTCTATAAGACTCACTTTTTCCCTCCTAAAAAGTAAGGGGAAATGTGTGTGCGTCTTATGGAGCGAATGCAGGCTGCGCAGCTATCCCAGAAGCCAGAACAGCAAGAGGGATTGCTGCTTTCACTGCGCAGTGATCCATCTTGCTGTTCTGGCTTCTGAGATATATTTTTTCTTGTTTTCCTCCTCCAAAAACTAGGTGCGTCATGTGGTCTGGTACGTCTTATAGAGCGAAAAATACAGTAACTTTTGCACATTGGAGCAAAAAATTCTAACTTCACTTATGAAGCCTTATTTACCTAGGGATCCATCAGCCACGCCATCCCCGGACCTTGGAGGGAACAAAAGTACCAGGAAAGCAAAATCTTCTTTGGAGAAAAGGTTTATTGAAATCTGTGCACAGAGACAATCTGTACACAGAGACAACCAGCTGGATAGCTCCTGAAAATACACTGGCTGTAAAGCAAGACACTTCAGCAGACTTTCTTATACCTTGAGAAAGCTCCCTCCCTCCTCCCCCAAACGCCCTCCAAAAACTTCCCCAATCAACTGGAAAGTTTTCAACTTATTTTTGGCATGTCTATATTGCTAGCCTCTAAGCAGCCCTCCCTATTTTCCCCATACGTGTCTTTCTAAGCGTCCTGCATCCCTTCCTCCCGTCTCCTCCGTATGTGTCTTTTTTATCTTGCATTCCTAAAGTAAGAAAGCGAGGGGCCTTCTTGCAGGTTTGGCTATTTCTAGCTCAGAAATTGACTTAGATCCAAGGTACAGAGAATATAGAAGATCCTTCTTAGGTACAAGGTACAAGGTATAGAAAGCATATAGAAAGCAACCCTTCCCTCTCCCTTCACTTATATACTAATCTAGTCTGAAGTGGGGGTGACTGACCAGGAATTTCGAGGCCTTGGTGGATGGTTAAATGAAAATGTTGAACCCCAACATGCAGCAGTTATGAAAAAGGTAAATTCTGTGTTGGGCTCATTAGGAAACGGATTAACTGTCAACATCATAAAGCCCTTTTACAAATCTATGATGTGACTGCACTAGGAATATGATATACAGTTCTGGTCACAACACATCAAAAAGCCCAACCAATGGAGAGGGTGGAACAACTTCCCTATGAAGAAAAGTTACATCATTTTGGGCTTTTCAGTTTAGAAGATGTGGAAAGTGATGTTGTTGTTGTTGTTGTTTAGTCGTTTAGTCGTGTCCGACTCTTCGTGACCCCATGGACCAGAGCACGCCAGGCACCTCTGTCCTCCACTACCTCCCGCAGTTTGGTCAAACTCATGCTGGTAACCTCGAAAACACTATCCAACCATCTCGTCCTCTGTCGCCCCCTTCTCCTTGTGCCCTCCATCTTTCCCAGCATCAGTGTCTTCTCCAGGGAGTCTTCTCTTCTCATGAGGTGGCCAAAGTACTGGAGCCTCAGCTTCACGATCTGTCCTTCCAGTGAGCACTCAGGTCTGATTTCCTTAAGAATGGATGCATTTGATCTTCTTGCCGTCCATGGGACTCTCAAGAGTCTTCTCCAGCACCATAATTCAAAAGCATCAATTCTTCGGCGATCAGCCTTCTTTATGGTCCAGCTCTCACTTCCATACATCACTACTGGGAAGACCATGGCTTTAACTATACGGACCTTTGTTGGCAAGGTGACATCTCTACTTCTCAAGATGCTGTCTAGGCCTGTCATTGCCCTTCTCCCAAGAAGCAGGCGTCTTTTAATTTCGTGGCTGCTGTCACCATCTGCAGTGATCATGGAGCCCAAGAAAGTAAAATCTCTCACTGCCTCCATTTCTTCCCCTTCTATTTGCCAGGAGGTGATGGGACCAGTGGCCATGATCTTCGTTTTTTTGATATTGAGCTTCAGACCATATTTTGCGCTCTCTTCTTTCACCCTCATTAAAAGGTTCTTTAATTCCTCCTCACTTTCTCCCATCAAGGTTGTGTCATCTGCATATCTGAGGTTGTTGATATTTCTTCCGGCAATCTTAATTCCAGTTTGGGATTCATCCAGCCCAGCCTTTCGCATGATGTATTCTGCATATAAATTAAATAAGCAGGGAGACAAAATACAGCCTTGTCGTACTCCTTTCCCAATTTTGAACCAATCAGTTGTTCCATATCCAGTTCTAACTGTAGCTTCTTGTCCCACATAGAGATTTCTCAGGAGACAGATGAGGTGATCAGGCACTCCCATTTCTTTAAGAACTTGCCATAGTTTGCTGTGGTCGACACAGTCAAAGGCTTTTGCATAGTCAATGAAGCAGAAGTAGATGTCTTTCTGGAACTCTCTAGCTTTCTCCATAATCCAGCGCATGTTTGCAATTTGGTCTCTGGTTCCTCTGCCTCTTCTAAATCCAGCTTGCACTTCTGGGAGTTCTCGATCCACATACTGCTTGAGCCTTCCTTGTAGAATTTTAAGCATAACCTTGCTAGCGTGTGAAATGAGTGCAATTGTGCGGTAGTTGGAGCATTCTTTGGCACTGCCCTTCTTTGGGATTGGGATGTAGACTGATCTTCTCCAATCTTCTGGCCACTGCTGAGTTTTCCAAATTTGCTGGCATATTGAGTGTAGCACCTTAACAGCATCATCTTTTAAAATTTTAAATAGTTCAGCTGGAATACCATCACTTCCACTGGCCTTGTTATTTGCAGTGCTTTCTAAGGCCCATTTGACTTCACTTTCCAGGATGTCTGGCTCAAGGTCAGCAACCACACTACCTGGGGTGTACGAGACATCCATATCTTTCTGGTATAATTCCTCTGTATATTCTTGCCACCTCTTCTTGATGTCTTCTGCTTCTGTTAGGTCCTTACCACTTTTGTCTTTTATTATGGTAATCTTTGTACGAAATGTTCCTTTCATATCTCCAATTTTCTTGAACAGATCTCTGGTTCTTCCCATTCTGTTGTTTTCCTCTATTTGTTTGCATTGCTCATTTAAGAAGGCCTTCTTGTCTCTCCTTGCTGTTCTTTGGAAATCTGCATTCAATTTCCTGTATCTTTCACTATCTCCCTCACATTTTGCTTGCCTTCTCTCCTCCGCTATTTGTAAGGCCTCGTTGGACAGCCACTTTGCTTTCTTGCATTTCCTTTTCATTGGGATGGTTTTCGTTGCTGCCTCCTGTACAATGTTACGAGCCTCCATCCATAGTTCTTCAGGCACTCTGTCCACCAAATCTAAATCCTTAAACCTGTTCGTCACTTCCACTGTGTATTCATAAGGGATTTGACTTTGATTGTATCTTACCGGCCCAGTGGTTTTTCCTACTTTCTTCAGTTTAAGGTGGAAAGTGATAGACGTGTATAAAGACATGTGCTTCATGGTGTGAAGAAAGTGAAGAGAGTATCTTAGTATTTTTTAATCCTAGAGCCTGGGGCTATCCAATGAAGCTAAACATTGGAAGATATAAAAGGAAGTACTTCTTCACACAGCATATACCTCATTTTTCGCTCTATAAGATGCACCAGACCATAAGACGCACCTAGTTTTTGGAGGAGGAAAACAAGAAAAAAAAAATATTCTGAATCCCAGAAGCCAGAACAAGAAGAGGGATCGCTGCGCAGCGAAAGCAGCGATCCCTCTTGCTGTTCTGGCTTCTGGGATAGCTGTGCAGCCTGCATTCGCGCCATAAGACACACACACACATTTTCCCTTACTTTTTAGGAGGGAAAAAGTGAGTCTTATAGAGCAAAAAATAAGGTAGTTAAAACCATGGAACAGGATTCAACATAGAGTCCCATCCGTGGAAGCAATGCAAGAATGTCTACTTGTTAGGTGGTACTTTCCCTGCCCTGCTCCCATCCACATGCCTCCAAATTGGGTCACTGAGGGGTGCCAGGAGAACCCCCGGGAACAGTGCGTGCTGGGAGAAGAATGAAGATCATTCCTCCTGGAAAGCCCAAATGTTGAAACTATTGGCTTTGTGCAACATTGAATTATTCCCCCATAAGATATATGAAGGGCTTGGTTTGCTTTAAAGGAGGATTAGAGAAATTAATGAAAGATAAGGTTATTAAAGGTTACTAGTTATGGTGGCTGTATATTAACTCCAGTACCACAGGCAGCATGCCTCTGAATACCAGCTGCTCAGGAGCACAAGTGGGAGGCTGCTTCTGCATTCATGTCCTGCTTCTGGGCTTCACAGATGTATGAGGGTGTTCAGGAGGGCACCCTCTATATCGGGGTTGGGGAACCTTCCTTAGTCTGGGGGCCACTGGCGGAGGAACAGGGGTGCGGGGGAGAGCGCAAGATCCTGGTGGTAAGATCCAGCTGGGGTGCCATTGTGGCTGCCCCCTTACCCCGCGCTGGGCACCAAGCCCCCATAGGTGGCGTGCCACGCCCCAGGGATGTGTGCCACCCCCGCCCCTGCCTGCTCTCTCCCCCCCACCAGAGCCTGAAGCTCCGCCACTGCTGTGGGCCAAAGGTTTAAGTGTGTGATGTCATATTGCGTTTTTTCTGTTTTTGGTTGGGAGTTGCCTAGAGTGGCTGGGCAACCCAGGCAGATGGGTGCAGGAGCGAAACCAGGCTTTATTTCACCCGGGTCAAAGACCCAGTTTGGCACACGCACCACACACACATGCATACACACACACACACAGGCTAAGAGCCTTAATGGCACCCCTCTGGAGGCTTCACCTAGGGCAAAAAATCGGGCTAGCCCCCCCAACTATGCCTCTGGATGGGAGGCATATAACTATATTATTGTTATGTATTGAAGTTCTCACCCTGGCCACCAGGAGTATTGTGTATGTAGTTTTCACTCAGGTCCACGTCAGTTATTTTAGGCGGGAAACCCTGGGTTGTTGTTGCTACAATGTTGACAGCCGGCTGCCTATAAAAGCAGGCTGGCTGAGCTGTTTGCTGTTCAGTTATGTGACAGCTTACAAATAAAGAGCTGCTTTGGAGAAATCGCTGTGTCGTCTGCTATGTCTACCCACTATTTAACAATTATTATTATTATTATTATTATTATTATTATTATTTGGTTGACCACAGTGGGGAAGATGATGCTTGACTAGATGGGCCTTTGGCCAAGGGCTCTTCCTGTGTTATGTTCTCAGGGAGTGCTGTTTGCATGTGTATATTTGGCAAAATTGCATGCAAGAATGTGTCCATCAGGAGAAATTCACACTAGAATGCAAATGAATGTAACCGTAACTTCTCCCACTTTTAAAAAGCATCAACTTTACGATCTTATTCCAAAATGAGTTATGATACAAATGAATGTTCATGATAATTTTTTGTTAAAAAACAAACAAACCTTAAACTGATGCAGAAGAGCGGAGAAGTGAATTTAAGATTCAAGAAATCAGAAACTGAGAAACAGAAATTGACAGATTCATCCATTGCAAGCTGTAAGCCACCCACTGCCCCACCCACCCACTCACAATGTGTGCAGGAGTGAGACAGAAAATGCTATGGAAAGGGATAGACAAGGGGAAAGATGTGTGACAGGAAAAGGATGCATTGGAGGAGATACACGGTACAGCAAGGTTCTTCCTGCAAACTGACAATTAGCTAGTGTGCCTTTGAGTTGACCAGCCAAAACACTAAGCACAGGCTTCTTGTAGTTATAACCATCAAAGCAAATAGGACATTATTTTATATTGTTATAGGTTTGAGGGAGGGTCAGTCTGAACGATACTCATGGATCCCTTCCAAACCTGTGATCCTATGTATGTGAGGTTAGAATCCACAAGAGGAAACTCTTCTTCACATGATCTCAGGGCGGGGGATAGTGACAAAAAACACCTGATAGTAAAACAAATAAAATACATATTGTAATACTAGCATATGAGCAGGAAAGAAACACATCAGTTAAAAACTACAGAGTCTGCCTAAAAAATTCCTAAGCTCCCCGAAAATACATCTGGCAAGTATGCATAGCTTATAGAAAGGAAAAAGAAAAGGCGAACAGGAAATGTATGCCTCTGGTTGTAAGCTGAGCCAAAATTTCTTTTTATTATTTGGTCATTCTGTTGCCTCTGTATAGGAACTGCTTTCTATCTCTTGCCTTCTATGAGTAGAACCTTTGCGAAGTTGAGTCCCAGCCAGACTCAGTATACTTCACATGGCTTTCCTGCCCATATCACCATGATCTCATTAAGCATATGTTGCAAGGGAGGGCAAGGAACAAACTGGGGAGATGGTGCTCCATACATCCCATTGATTCTAGGGCAACAAACTAATCATGTAATCTAGTTGGCCACTGCCTTATGTGTTACAGTGGTTTTTGTTTTGGAAGGCTGGGTAAAATGGACAGGTTTGATACAAGCACACATTTACCTTAAATATATAAAAATTCCATTTTTAAGCTGCTCTCACAGCAGTGCTAGCACTTCCTTATTACATCTCTTCCTGTCTGGCATGCCTTATCAAAGAATGCTACAGTTGCAGCCAGCTAAATCACTGTGCATGCAGAACAACTTCTGTAAGTGCAATGACACTTCTCCTCCTGTTCTCACGTGCCTCCTGCACTGACCCAAATTTCTTTCCCAAGGCTGAGTTTGGGAACTGGGGGCCAAGCAAGGAGAAGAGAGTGAAACTGAAGTCCTCATGTGGAATAAGAAGCTGGATACAACCCACAGTATAAATAAAATCCAGGTAGAGATATAGGTAACCTTTGATACTGGTTATTGCTTTAGACTAAATATGTTTTAGAAATATGTATTGTGAGTTTTAATACACTGTACACCACCCTGAGACCATACAGTGAAAGACAGATAGAAACATCTAAATAAACTAACTGCAGATACCCATTTCACATTATGTGTAGGTAAACTTTATTTTTTATGTATAACATTCGTATCCCACTCTTCATGCAATGTACAGGGCAGTTTCTAGATATCCTGTGTTATTTCACAGTCACACTTGGTAGGTTGCGGGGGGTGGGGGGGAGGCGGGGAGAGATAGACCAGTGTTTCCCAACCGGTGTTCCGCGGCACACCAGTGTGCCGTGAGACCTTGCCTGGTGTGCCGTGGGAGGGAGGCGGGAGAGGCGGGGCGGCACGGCGCCCGAGATCGCTTCTCCCCACCGCCCCTTGCTTCAAAAGAGGTCCGGGGACAGCGGGAAGCGCTTCGCGCTGCCCCCGGACCTCTTTTGAAGCAAGGGGCTGCGGGGAGATCGCTTCTCCCGGTGCTCCGAAGCGGGGCGGGGGGCGGGAACCTGCAGCGCGGAGCGCGGGGCGCCCTTTGGAGGACGCCCCGTGCTTCGCGCAGCTGTCTGCAAGCCTTGGGCGCCTGGGGGAACTCCCCCCCCCGCGCAAGGCTTGCGGGCGGCAGCCTGCAGCGCGGAGCGCGGGGCGCCCTTTGGAAGACGCCCCGTGCTTCGCGCAGCTGTCCGCAAGCCTTGGGCGCCTGGGGGAACCCCCCCCCCGGCGCGCAAGGCTTGCGGGCGGCAGCCTGCCGCGCGGAGCGCGGGGCGCCCTTTGGAGGACGCCCCGTGCTTTGCGCAGCTGTCCGCAAGCCTTGGGCGCCTGGGGGAACTCCCCCCCCGCGCGCAAGGCTTGCGGCGGCAGCCTGCAGCGCGGAGCGCGGGGCGTCCTTCGGAGGACGCCCCGTTCTTCGCGCAGCTGTCCGCAAGCCTTGCGCGCCCAGGGGAACTCCCCCCTGCGTGCACGGCTTGCGGGCAGCAGCCAGCAGCGCGGAGCACGGGGCGCCCTCCGTAGGAGGCTGCGGAGGGTGGCGCGGAGCTGCCCGCGCTCCAGGGCTTCTTGCAGCTCCGCGCCACCCCCGGATCCCGGTGCGAAGCCGCGCGGGGCTGCGGAGGGTGGCACGGAGCTGCCTGCGCTCCAGGGCTTCTTGCAGCTCCGCGCCACCCCCCCCCCGATTCCGGCGCGAAGCCGCGCGGGGCTGCGGAGGGTGGTGCGAAGCTGCCTGCGCTCCAGGGCTTCTTGCAGCTCCGCGCCACCCCCCGGATCCCAGCGCGAAGCCGCACGGGGCTCTGGAGGGTAGTGCAGAGCTGCCTGCATCCCGAAGCCTGGTGCGCGCTGAAGAGCGCCCCCGGGCTTCACGCACCTCTCCGCAAGCCTGGGGAGACCAGTGTGGCTCCCTAGGCTTGCGGATATCAGGCTGTTCTGGGGGCTGGGGTAGGGGGAAGCTTGGGTTTCCCCCGCGCCTGCCCCGTGCCTGGGGAGGGGAAAATTTTTTTTTCTTTATTCTCCCCCCAAAAAATTAGGTGCGTCTTATGGGGCGGTGCGTCCTATGGGGCGAAAAATATGGTAGTCAATATAGGCACAGAGTTAAATTTTTTAACATTTTCTAATGGTGGTGTGCCTCGAGATTTTTTTCATGAAACAAGTGTGCCTTTGCCCAAAAAAGGTTGGGAAACACTGAGATAGACAGACAGACATTATCTGGAAGAGGTTTAACCCAAAGCCTCCCTTTCCATCCAGAGTCAGAGATAAAGAGAGTAGAATGAAACTCAAGAGAGAATGCCCAAATCATAATCTCAAAGAGGCAGCCAGGAGCGGGTGGGTGGGTCATGGAAGAGAAAGCATGCCAGGTTGCAGAGGTGTGTTCAAAAGCAGTGTGGTCCTTTGTATCATCATCACATTTATATCCTACCTTCCCTCCAAGGAGCTTAAGGAGGCAGACACACTTCTCCCCACCCCCATTTTATTCTCACAAACATCCTATGCAGTAGGTCAGGCTAAGAAATGGCGACTGGCCCAAGGTCACTCAGTAAACTTTCTGGCTGATTTGGGATTTGAACCCTAGTCTTCCAGGTCCTAGTTCAACACTTTAACCACTATATCACAAGGGCTCTTTGTTTAGTAAAGACAGTGGGCTAGAAGTCAAGAAACACTGGAGGCAAATATTAAGTCAATAAGCCAGGTTGAGTCACTGCTTCTGTACCAGAAACACATAATGTTGGGAGCAGGTCAAGCAGGAATGGTGGTGAGACCAGTATCCTCACGGATAGAGTCAGGCTGCTTCTTTACTTGATTTCGCAGAGCAAGCACACACTGCTCCATCCCATTCACACTGTGCTTTTGCTGAACCTGATGAAGCCTCTGTTCTGCCCACATAGTTGGCCTAATAATTACCCTCTAAATTGGTATTGGTCTCCCTTTTCAAATGTCACTTCTTTCAGTAGAGTAAGTAGACCAATCCATCAAAGCAAACGCTGGTCAAGGTAGAGAAGACAGGCCTACGTGCGCGCACACACAAACCCTTCGAGGTTCTTTTTTTGCTGTCCAGTTCCTACCTGGTCTCCGACGTGCCATTTGTTCTTTTCTCGTGGTGTAGTACAGCTCCAGCGCTCCAGAACTGTTTGGGCACTTAGCACTGTTTGCTGTTCCCTCAAAAGTGAGATGTGGCTACTTCCCCAAAGGCAGGCGTCACTGACTTGTACAACAAGTGGACCTAAATGTTTATGTCTTGCAAAATTCTCAGAAGCTTCCTTTAGCTCAGAGACCACAAGCCATAAAAGGTCTACACATCATGACTCTTCTACCAGCCCCCTCAGTTCCTTAACCCTGCTTAGTGTGTATTGCTGGGAGGGGAAGGCGAGCAGCCTTAGCTGCTTTTAACTTGTTTTTCATTACCTTATATGTAAATCGCCTTGAGGCAGTGGTTTAGAATGTGATTATTAATAAATGAAATACAATAATGGTGAGCCATCTTGGGCTAGTCATAGCACAAAGCAGATCAGTTTCGAAGCAAGCTGAGTCACTAAGGGGAAAAGAAGAGGAAAGGAAGAAAAAGGCTATGGGACATGAATTATCACCAGTCATCAATTTATATACCACTTACAAGTTTCCAAGCAATTAAGACAAAATAGCCTCCCTGACCTTGTACAGACAATTCTGCTTCCGCTCTAAGTAACATGGAACTCTGTGACAAACCTTCTTACAAAGTTCTGGCCCTGTTGGAACAAGAGACACCAGGATGCAAACTCAGACACCAAATGTTATATTCTGTGGTTTTAATGTTTTAGTTGTTGTTAAATTTTATGAGCCATCTTGGGTCGATCTTTGATGGACTGGAATGCAAGTTATTAAAATAAAAGTAGTAGTAGTAATAGAGTGAGAGAATTAAACATTATTTATTTAATATACCGTTGCTCACCACCCAAATCTCCAAGCAGTGTGAGATTCCAAGAGTTCCAGGCACCAGGTCCATGTTTCGTTTTGGAAATGAGGCACAACGGAGATTGTGGTGTCTTCATCATATAAGGTTTATTTACACATATATACAACCTGAGCCTATGATGGAAGGGGTCACAACATGAACACCCCAAGAAGGTTTTATTTCTCCCATAGCCACAGCCTTCATTCAAACAGAAATCAACAACTGTGCTCTGATCCTCTAGTTTGCCTTTTGCAACCTGCAACGTCCCCCCCCCCCAGGTCACATCATAGCCCACTGTCAACTTTGACTTTTGTTCTTCTACTTTTCTCAGCAATAGAGGAGGGTCCCATCCATTTACCATCTGGCACAGAACCCCCTCTCCATTGTTTTCTTAATGGCTCATCATCTTCCCTTTGTTTTCTTAATGGCCTGTCTGGCTTTAACCCTTGCTGGATCCAGGGGTTTGGGAGGCTTGATTAAAGTTGAATATAAGAGCTTCCAAAAATGGCAAAGCTGGTCCTGTAGGGAGAGTACTGTCCCATCCAGAACAGGCTAAGCACCTTCTCCCTGAGAAAATTAAACACGAATCCTCAAAACCTCCATCTTGTCAGAATTGTGCTTCAGATTATTGGTTCTCATCCAAAGCAGGCTATTACTGATTTTAGGCACCAATTCAGCACTTGAGCTGCCACCCAGAATATGCTGCTATGAAAGCCCTACACCGTAACCCTCTTGTGAGGAGTGGGTAACTTGGCTTCACAGCAGGACCATCTGATGACCCTTAACTAATGGGCAGGAATAATCATATGACGAAGCCTCAAGAAGTATGTAGGACCTAGGCCATTTAGAGCTTTATATGTTAGAGCCAACACCTTGAATAGTGTATAAATACCGGACACCAGAGAAAGATGAGGATCATGAAGCACAGAATTTTTAAAAATAAAGAAAAAGCTTAATTTGATCCATTCTTCTTGATGCCCCAGTCTAATATGCTGCTAATAATTAGTGAAGATTTGCTCTATCCTTCTCCAGGTACATGAAGACTGGCTCAGATGCCAACAAACTGAACACCTACGATATACGATATCTTTATTGTCATTGTCCCATGCAGGACAATGAAATTGAAAAACTGCATAAAACTACATTAAAACGACATAAAAACTACCTCAGACTTTGGAAGTTTCAGACATGGCCAACCCTAAAAGAAAGTATGGATGCTCCATCCAGTTGCTGAATGCAAAGTAACTGTGTGTTTCAATCACTTAAAAACCACTGCAACTATTTCCAGAGGGGTCAGCTGTGTGTTTGATGCAGCAAAATCTAAGAGTTTTGACAAAAAAAATTCCTTCCAGTAGCACCTTAAAGACCAACTAAGTTAGTTCTTGGTATGAGCTTTCATGTGCATGCACACTTCTTCAGATACTTCAGTATCTGAAGAAGTGTGCATGCACACGAAAGCTCATACCAAGAACTAACTTAGTTGGTCTTTAAGGTGCTACTGGAAGGAATTTTTTTTGTTTTGACTATGGCAGACCAACACGGCTACCTATCTGTAATAAGAGTTTTGAGTCACCTTAAAGACTGTAACCAAGGTGCTACGGCATAGTAAGAACGAATGCTTATGCCAGAATACGTTTGTTCCTCTTTAAAATGCCTCAAGACTCTCTACTCTCTCTCTATGTTTGATATTCCCCCACCCCGCGCTGAAATCACTGCAATGCCAGCTGGCCACTAGAGGGGCACAAAGCACACACCATGCCTCTCTACATTTTTTCTAACCAGCGAGAAAAGCTGCCCTAACCTCGCCAGTACTTTTTCCTTTAAACGGGGAAATGAGGGGCGCATGCGTATAACTGCCTTTTGCCATAGAGGTGAGACCGGAAATCCAGCTGGGCGTTCATCTGTGATAACCATAGAGCACATGACAGGTTGCCACGGTGATTGCTCAACCTTCCAAGCCACAACCTCTGCCGTTTACGCTGAACTTCTACCAAGCCCTGTTTTCTTCCGTAGTTTGGTACAGACACGCAGGTTGTTATTACCAGCCTTATAATATTCCCTTAGGTTCAACTCGAGCTCCGAGGAAACGCTCCGTTTTAGCTCATTCTCATGGAACGATGGTCGCAAGGCCACCTAGGCCACAGTTTCGTTGCCATGGTGACGCTTCCGAGTCTTCGCCACTTCCGTTAGCGGCGTTCGATTCTCCCCGCCTCTTTTGCAGCGGCCGTAAAGATTGCCGTACAGGCGGAAGGTGAACATCGCTGTAAAAGAGTGATAATTTCACACAGTAGGTAAGAGGTATGAAGAGCATTTGGGCTCAGTAAAAGTTGGCGGGGAGGCAGAGGAAGCATTATTGTTATTGCCTTCCCCTCTTAATCTCCGTGATTCCTCCTGGCTTGCAGGAACAGTGGGAGGGGGAAGGTCCCCTCTCAAGGTCTGGTGGCGTCCCAGATGCAGCTCTTTCGTGGTGCAAAGTGGGGTTGTGTCTCGTATCTGGCCTATAAATGTAAACAGGTTTGATATATGGCTTATCGGACATGTCTTTTCCCAAGCCCCGGGAACTGCAATTAGCAGGAGTGCTAAATTGGTAATCCTTTCACAGAACATCAATTCACATAGGATAAAAAGAGGCTTGCAATAATAAGTTTCCATTTGTGGCATAGACTAAAGGATCCTGGAGTTTCAAGTTTGTTATCTTTGTAAGTCACTGTCACCATTTCAGGGGCTGCTAGACTTAACTACGAACTACTAGCTATGAACTACTCGGCCCTTTTTTGTAGAGAAGGTGATCAAGCATCATTATTTTGGTTGTCTTTTTTTCTCAGATATGCATATCTTGTTATATTGTGGTTTTACTGAATGCTTTTCCCAAGCATCTGAATGTTATACATTTATAGGAATTATCACATTTTACCTTCACAAAAATCTGTGAATTATGTTAGGCTGGGAGGTGATGGCTAGCCCAAAGTCACCTAGTAGGGATTTAAACTTAGGCTGGCAATACCCAGATTCAGCATCCTATCCACTTCCTTGTACTAGCTTATATGTCTGTCCTCCCGTGCAAAATAAATATCATTTAGAAGTTGCTATATAAAGTAGTGCCCCATTTGAAATGCAGTTGTGCGAATTCTAGAAAGGTGCTTATTACCCTTTTAATTTTCTTTCTTAATAGCATCATGGATGCACGTTTTACCCGTGGAAAGTCTGCTATCCTTGAACGGTCACTCACCCGACCCAAGACTGATGTTAGCCTCAGTGCCTTTTCATTATTGTTTTCTGAGATTGTGCAGTACTGTCAGAACAGGGTCTACTCTGTTTCTGAGCTTCAGAACAAACTTTCTGAGCTAGGTCAGCAGGTGGGTGCTCGTATCCTGGATGTGTTGGTGATGCGGGAGAAAAATGGTAAGAGAGAAACCAAGGTCATCAACATTCTCCTGTTCATCAAAGTTACCGTATGGAAGGCTCTCTTTGGGAAGGAGGCTGACAAGCTGGAGCAAGCCAATGACGATGACAAGACTTACTACATCATTGAGAAGGAGCCTCTTATCAATACTTACATTTCTGTTCCCAAGGAGAACAGCACACTCAACTGTGCTTCCTTCACAGCTGGCATCGTGGAGGCTATGCTCACTTGCAGTGGCTTCCCTGCCAAGGTGACAGCCCACTGGCACAAGGGAACCACCCTCATGATCAAATTTGATGAGTCAGTAATAGCACGTGACAAAGCCCTGGATGGCCGCTGACTGCTTCATTTGATTTAATCTGGATTGTTTGTGTCTGTGTGTATGTGTATGTATATGCATATGCATATATACACACACTTTGACAGCATCCTAAAATAACTACCCTGACCATGCTTTGTGCATGGTAAGGGAGAACCAAGTGGCATCGGAACAAGTGACTGTGTCCCATATACTGATGGTAAATGTTTCTACAGCATTTGTACTGATTACACAGGACCACTTCTGCTTCCAGAAATCTACCCTTAATTCTGTTGCTTGACTCTTGGTGAAGGCTTGAAGAGGGAATGCAGTTCACGTTCCTAGCCAAGAGATAACACAGTCTTGGTTTGCATATAAGCTATGTAATTTGATGTAAAGATTCCTCTCATGCTGTTGTATTTGTTTTGTTGTTACCCCTCTGACATTACCACTAGAAAAGCACGGATGAAAGGTTATTGCTAGGCTGCCAGCTTTGGAATGAGCTAAATTGTCTCTACTCATTCTGTTGCTGCTTCTTACCTAGTGCCTATCAGTTATGATTTAACTTTGCAGTCTGCTTGCTGTCTTGCCTCTAGGAATGAGCTGCAGCTGCCTTAGCAAATCAAGTGAAACCCACAAATTACATTACCAGTTTGCTTAAGAGTGGCTCAGACTTTCAAATGAAGCACTTTAAGTAAAAAGCTCAAGGGCAGGGGTAAAACACACCAGAACCGGTGAGAGCTTTACCTGCTTCTGTAAAATACACTGTTCACTGCCCATGTTTCTTCTTTGAATACTTGTCTCCACACCTGAAGAAAATATCTAAGAGTTGTAAAGACTCCTTTGATAGTTATTCCAAGAGCTGTTCTTATAGGGCTTTCCCTCAGCATAACTGGTCCTTCACAGTGTTTCCTGTTTGCCCTGAGAAGTGAGGAAAGTGATGTCACCCCCAAACTAAGATTTCTCTCTCTTTTCCTTTTTAAAAAAATGGTAAAATAAATTAACTAAAATACCAAGAATATACTGTTGAAAGATATTTTAATGCAGAAATCTCATCTAAACCAGTCAGTTTCAAATCATTCCATACAATGAAGATGCTAATGGTTTTGAAGAATTGTTTACCTGGTTAATAAATTCCATAAAGTAATCCATTAAGGATGTTTTTGTCTGTCTGTCTCTCTCTCAACTTCATTTAGTGTGTTGTTCCTGTTCTGTGCACAGTCCATTTTGTGTGACTGTAAAATGTTCACATTCTTTCCAAATAGCATTGAATTGTTGGGCTTATATTTTTGTTTTTATTATAAAGATGTAAGTGAATTTATTTGTTTTTTGTCATAAAATTTATTTTTGGATAGTGGGGAAAAAATTTCAAAGTGATTTACAAAAAGAATAAAACAATAAAATTTATTGGTAATAACAATTAAAACAACAATTTAAAACATTCAAAAAACTAAAACCAGCAATAAACCAAGAAGCACAACAGCATTCTAGATATTTGGGTAGACTTCGCTAAACAATGTTTTAGCAGGTGCTGAAAAGAGCGCTGTGAAAGTGCCTGCCTGATATCAATAGGAAGGGAGTTCCAAAGTATAGGTGCTGCCACACTAAAATAACAGTTTTACAATTGCAGAATGGGTATTATGTGGCACCTGTAACAGTGCCAGTTCCTCAGTTCGAATTGGTCAAGTGGACATATATGGGGTAAGGTGATATTGCAGTTAAACTAGGCCCAAGTTATTAAAGACTTTATATACTAATAGTAACACATTGAACCTGGCCTGGTGGCAAATCAGCAACCAGGGCAGATCCCTGAGTGCAGCTGTTGTATGCTGACAAAGTCTTACCCCTGACAGCAACTGGGCTGCAGCATTTTTGCACTAACTGCAGCTTCTGGATCAAGTGACTAGGGAAGCCCCACATAGTCCATTGCCTTGAGGAAATGTGGCCACACTTTCCCAGTCTAGGAATGGTTGCAGCTGTTGAACCAGCCACAGTTGGTAAAAGGCACCTCTAGCCACTGAGGCTGCCTGAGCCTTCAGTGATACAGCTACCTCCAGAAGTGGTATCTTGCATCATAACTCATTTTGGATAAAAACCGTCAAATTGACACTTCTTAAAAGTGGGAGAAGTTACAGTTGATTCAATGATTCTATTATTCTGTACTTACAATTCCAAGAGTGGATTCTTGTATATGCTACTTGATCACTCTCAGATGTACAGTAGTACTAGTTCCTTCCTCTCCCTATGCAGTTCATTAGAAAATTACTAAATAAGATTACAAGTCATGGAGCGTAACGAATAACCACTTTTATGCATTCTTACTAAAGCCTACATAGGATTGCAGACTTCTACCAGTGTTAACAGAGTTTTTGCTCATGGTCTTTTGATCTACTGATAAGGGTGCATAGGATGGCTTTTATTCACCACCAAAAGCTGGAAACTTATCTTGGAACAAATTGAGCTTTTCCTGTAATCAGATGCTGAGTAGGTAGGAGGTGCAACTCATGATACAAATGACTTGATGGTGATTGTAACAACTAAATTGTAAACTGCTTTCATCTAATAAGAGCCACTTCTGAGGAGGTGTTTGGCTTGTGGAAACAGGAACTTAAGTGCAAAGCACATCCATATAGCTTCAGGAGACCACACAACTTTTCCCCCAGCAGAGAAGTGACTGTGACAGCAGGGACACATTCTGAACCAAAGTAAGGCATGTTACATTTTAAGTGCTACGTAGTTGCAGAACTGCAATGCTTTAAAGTGTCCATAGCATCGTTGCAAGGGAGGTGCACAAGGGGGGAAAAACAGAACAACAAATTGTGCTTTCCCTTGGCTTTTACCAAGTAAACAAGAAGACTTTCCCCTACCCCAAGCAGCGAGGTGGTGCTAAGGGTGGGCATTTAGGGGCCTGACTCATTTGTGGCTTGCTAGATAGAAGCTGATAGTGACAGAAAGGAAGCACAAGTGGCTGTGTTGCATCTGCCCCAAGAACTCTGACTTGGAGCAGCCTTAACCTACCATGGATGACGGCTATCAGAATGAAGAATACTACAATGACAATGTGTCAGAGAAAATAACCCACACTGAGGAAGTGCACTCGGAGTTTGAACCTACAAAAGCAGGTAACGGGGAGAATGAGAAGAAATTCTCAAAGGGACTAGTGATGGGGGTGGGGAAAGAAACTTGATTAAAGCAACCATATTACTAGTTGATTCACGTTCTCCAAGGCTTATGTCTCACTATCCCCCAAAGACATTTCACTCAAACCAGGAGGCTCCAGAAGGTAGCCCTAGTATTGCCTATACTCAGTGGCGTAGCGTGGGGGGTGCCAGGGGTGCCGGCCGCACCGGGCGCAACATTTTGGGGGGCGCGTTTGGCCGGCCCCCCTCGAGGAAGCGGGAACCTCTCCAAGGCACAGCGTGCCGTCGGTAGAGGAAAAAAGCCGCGCAGCAGCAGCAGCAGCAGCAGCAAAGTCGGGAGGAGGAGGAGGTGGAGCGAGCCTGCTAATTCCTTGCTGGGAATTAAGCGGCTCAAGACTCTCTCCACTGGCCGCCTGGGTAGTGAGCCGAGCCGAGCAGGGAGTCTGGCGAGGGGGCGGGAAGAGACTTTCCCCCCTTTTTTCCACCTCGCCTGGTCAAAAAGGAGAGCGGAGTCTCCTCAGGGCGCCCTCAGGCAGGGCAGGGAAAGGCAAGCAGAGCGAGGAGGAGAGAGGGGCGGGGAGCAGCCAGGAAACGCCGCGGTGTGGAGGAGGAATCAATTTAGGAGAGAAAGCGAAAAGCCTTGGAGAAAGGGAAAAAAGGAAAGAAAAGAGGCAGCTCCAGGAGAGCGCGGGGGAAAGAGAAGCCTCGCTGCTGCTGCTTGGGAGAGTAAATTACTGTACTTGCCTTGCCCCGGGTTAGGGGGCGCAAATTACTTGCCTTGCCCCGGGTTAGGGGGCGCAAATTACTTGCCTTGCCCCGGGTGCTGATAACCCACGCTACGCCGCTGCCTATACTAATACGCTCTTAATAACATGCAATACATAAATGTTATAAATGTAGGAAAAAAGGTAAAGGTAAAGGGACCCCTGACCATTAGGTCCAGTCTCAGTCTCAGTCTCAGTCTCAGTCTCAGTCTCAGTCAGTTTTATTGCACATAGCCAAAAGCTGCCGCAATGTACACATAATTATTTGACAATTAAAAGAAATTATACTGAATTGGTAAAAAAAGACTTAAAACATTTGTATTATTAAAACATTACGTACTCTATAAAAGTACCCCAATGTACAAATAATTCTTCGGCGATCAGCCTTCTTTATGGTCCAGCTCTTACTTCCATACATTACTACTGGGAAAACCATGGCTTTTACTATACGGACCTTTGTTGGCAAGGTGATGTCTCTGCTTTTTAAGATGTTATCTAGGTTTGCCATCGCCTTTCTCCCAAGGAGCAGGCGTCTTTTAATTTCGTGACTGCTGTCACCATCTGCAGTGATCATGGAGCCCAAGAAGGTAAAACCTGTCACTGCTTCCATTTCTTCCCCTTCTACTTTCTAGGAGGTGATGGGACCAGTGGCCATGATCTTCGTTTTTTTGATGTTGAGCTTCAGACCATATTTTGCGCTCTCCTCTTTCACCCTCATTAAAAGGTTCTTTAATTCCTCCTCACTTTCTGCCATCAAGGTTGTGTCATCTGCATATCTGAGGTTGTTGATATTTCTTCCGGCGATCTTAATTCCGGCTTGGGATTCATCCAGCCCAGCCTTTCGCATGATGAATTCTGAATATAAGTTAAATAAGCAGGGAGACAATATACAGCCTTGCCGTACTCCTTTCCCAATTTTGAACCAATCAGTTGTTCCATATCCAGTTCTAACTGTAGCTTCTTGCCCCACATATTACAGGAGCAGGGACCGAGCAACAGGAGCTCACCCCATCGCAGGGATTTGAACCGCCAACCTTCTGATCAGCAAGTCCTAGGCTCTGTGGTTTAACCGACAGAAGCCACCAAAAGGGCTATATTCTCATTGGTTTGTGTTACAGTTTCTTACCTGTGCACTGTAGAAAGAGAGGGCTGGATGTGCACCCATTCAGGGTGCAGCAAGACCCTTTCATCCAGAAAGTCACAAAGCAGACAGTCTCTTAAAAGTGCTCTTTCCTCTCTGTAGACTCAATGATTTTGGACCAGGGATATGAGAATGCTGAGCCAGAATATGAGTACATCGGGTTTTCTGGCATACAGATGAGAAGGCTACCAGACAACAGAGGGAAAGCAGAGCCAGGTGAAAGGTTCAATGAACTTGACAAATGATATTACGAACTTTTCTAATGTGCTTGGAAAACTCTGGGAACATGCTTGTGCAATATATGAAACTGTCAGGGACTGGGCAGAGGAGGAATGGTGGAGACTGCCTCCCTAGCCTGACTCTTTCAGAGAAGAGGAGGACTGTTTAGAATTACAACAGGGATTTGAGGGAGGTCATAGCTCAGAGGCAGATGAGGGGGAAAGTTGAGAAATAATGGGAGAGGAGGAGGAGGAGGAGGAGGAAGTACCAAGAGGGTGACAGCAGATGGACTCAGTGTCTTTAGAAAGCATTCCAGACACACACACCCAGAACCCGTCGAGCCTTGAAAGTAGGAGAGCCAGAGCTCAAAGGCACCTGTCAGCACCTGTAGAGGTGATGAGGATGACGAATAAGGAAGTGGGAGAGATGGGGTGTGTGTGTGGAGATTCACTTGGGACAACGCCATTATCCAAGAGGCTGGGTTCTAAAGCCTCTCTCTGTAAATACTGAATAAAAAGCGGATGGCAAGAACATTCCTTGCCTTCTTTATATGTTCTTGGGTAAACCGGCCATGGGAGTTGCTGGCAGCAGCCTGACAGAATCAGACTTTTTCAATTCAAACTGTAATCCCTTAAAATGGGTGGTGAACCTAAAGCCTGGGGGTCAAATGTGGCCCGGCCCTCAGGACACTCACGGAGTCATGCTTCCTCCCCAGGCCACAGTCCCTGCTTTTTAGCATCCTTGATTGCTTTTCCTGGCTGGAATTTGTCCTTGAACTGTGCTAATGCCTCTTGCTTGCCTGCAAGATTTCTAGTTCCTGAAATTTTCTGATGCTTCTACAGCTTCTAGGTGGCTTACTCTTCTTTATTTGCAGCACTGTATACATTTGAGGATGACAAGCGGGGACCTTTCATCAGGAAACCCGTCAGCATCTTCTCACTTCTGCTGCTCTGCTCCCTTATCATGGTGAAAGCTGCTTTCGTGATGACATCTGTTAGATGTAAGTCCATATCTGGAGAAGGCTAAACTTTTTTTGGTTATTACTTCTGTGAAGCTTAAAGCATGATGCACGTTTAGAGCATGGCACGCATGCACCCATCTTTTAAATATCTAATACCTCTCAATTCATTTTATTTAAGAAATGCCAATTGCATACAGCCATGTTACATTTTAAATGTCTAAAAACTCCAACACACACACACAAACACACGATTCCTTTCTTAAAAGTATACATTGACAACCTGCATTCAGCTACAGAAATCTGAGGACAAAATAGACATAGAATCATAGAGTGATTGAAGGCCTCAGGCCACCTCCCATAGAATCATAGAGTGAATGAAGGCCTCAGGCCACCTCCTTCTACTCAACTCAGGACATCCAGAGTTAGAACATCCATAGCAGATGACTCTCCAGCCTCTAACTGAAGACCTACAATGGGGGAGAGCCCACCACCGCCCTTGGAAGCTGGTTCCACTGCCAAACTACTCTTACAATCCAGAATGTTTTCCTGTTGTTCAGCCAAAATCTTTCCTCCTGTAACTTCAGCTCACTAGATCTGGTCCCGCTTGCTGAGGCAGCAGAAAATGAGCTTCTGTGTGACAGCCCTTCAAGAGTGCCATATTTTCCCCACCAATCCCCCAAATTAACCAAATCAAACCAGGATGAATATACCCAGTTCTTAGTTTACACCTTCCTTTCTTCATTTATTTATTTATTTTCCACATCCCTAAATACAGTAATACCTTGTGTTACAGACGCTTCAGGTTACAGACTCCGCTAACCCAGAAATAGTACCTCAGGTTAAGAACTTTGCTTCAGGATGAGAACAGAAATCGTGCTCCGGCAGCGCGGTGGCAGCGGGAGGCCCCATTAGCTAAAGTGATACCTCAGGTTAAGAACAGTTTCAGGTTAAGAACGGACCTCCAGAACGAATTAAGTTCTTAACCTGAGGTACCACTGTATCTTCATTAGCCAGTGGTCCTCACTGAACCCATTTTATTGTCTCTATAGCCTTCTTGGACATGGTCATCCAGATGAGGTCTGACTAGTGCAGAATAAAGTGGGATTATGAATTCCCATGACTTGGAAACTATAGGCCTGTTAATGAGGCTGAAGATTGCCTTAGCCTTCCCCCCACCCCCTTTTTTTTTTTTTTTTTGCAGCTGAATCACACTGTTGAAATGCATCAGTTTAAAATCATTGCTGATTAGCTGATACTTACTGCAACTCACTTCACAATATATGAGAAAATCAGAAATCCTATCTGGAGGGTTGTAAGAACCCCAGAACAGTGTGCAGGGGGAGGAGAGGGGAGATTTTTCTACCTGGTAAGCTGAAATACTTGCACTGATGTCTTTCTTGACTTCTTCCTCATTATGGTGAAAGTTGTGAGGAAAGCGGCACACCATCTTAAGGTCAGTGGGGTATGTGGGTTGAATGGGAAACCTAAATACCCCTTTTGGATTTCCAAAAGGGAGCAGGTCCCCATGTCTCTGCTGTCACACTATCATGTGATTAACTATCATATGATTAAAAACTCCTAGATATTGTATCATTTGCTGAATGTTCATGTAGTATGTGACACCAGTCATAGAAATATCGGATGAATGACCAGTGGAACATTTTGGATGCACTTGCTGTGGGATATATTGTTTAAGGCTCCTTATCTTGCAGGCTTTTCAGTGTGTCCAGATGAATGGGTAGCATTTCAGGAGAAATGCTATTACTTTCCCATAAAAACAGGAAATTGGGGTGAGGTCAGAAGCTTCTGCCGATGGCTGGGTGCAGATCTGATGATAATTGACAACAAAATGGAACAGGTGAGTCTCTCCTGTCCTGACTCTCTCATCTAAGATGTGGAGATTCAGAGACTGTTGCATAGGACACCCTCTCCTTGCTAGGTAGAAATTACTGCAAGCAGGCAAACAACAGATGGCAGAGAACTGCTTTCCCATAAAAGCCAGTCCTATGCCCTGATCTGAAGTTGAGACTTAAGTATAGACAGGAGAGAAATTGGATTGAGTTCACACTTTCCGAAACAATATATGAACCAAATTCACATTTCCCGAAACAATATGTGAACCAAAGTGCTGTCATCCTTTAAGATTTGCATTTCTCTGAATTTTGCAATGCAATCCTTGTAATATGTACAAAACTATATACTAGGATAAACAGTGTATGTAAATGAATATATTACTGAAAAGAACATGCAAAAGTGCTTGGCAAAAATATTGGGCAGCAGGTAAGGAGTAATTTGATTCTGTTTTCATTTTGTCTAGGACTTTCTAATTTATAAAATGGATTCCACGAAGAATCTGTGGATTGGCTTGCGTTATGCAGAGGGTGTACCAGGATGGCAATGGGTGGATGGTACAGAGTTGACCTTTGAGTGAGTAGAATTCTTCAATGCATCATCCTTTATCTTTACACATTGAGACTGAGGCTCAGAAAGCTTTAAGAATTTCAGCAGTAAAAATTTGGAAGTGTGTTTCCCATAATACGGACAGGAAACAACATATTCACACCAAACCAAACCTTTAAAGCACTCTTATACTTTATCAGTCATGGATTCACCCAGAGAATCCTGGGAGTTGTGGTGTATTAAGTGTCTCCTAACAGCTGTCAGCACCCATGGCAAAGAATTAAATGTAGGGTGTTGATGTGACCAGTGTATATATGGTCCGTATGGAGGTGGATGTTACATGGAGTGCCAGCTTGGCTAAAAGACTCCCATGTTAATTCTCCTTCTTCCATCAGGTGTGGAGCGATAAAAATGGGACTGGGCCAGTATCCCTGTGCTGTATGTGGTGCTTTGATCAGCTGATTGTCAGGGTTTTAGTGTCCAACAATGGGTCATATGATGTCATTGTGATGCCAGGTGATTGACACGCGTCCAGCCCTACCCACCTGTCACACTTGGCCTGTGGGTGGAGGAGATAAGGATTCAACCCCCTAGTTATATCCTATTCCTCACCCCGGTCTTTAATCTAAACAGCAGCTATTTGTATTTATTAGATTTTATAGGTGGTAGATAAAAGCATGAAGGGCATAGCAGGAAACTTGGATGGAGAAGGAAGAATATGGATCCTGCTGCCACCAGAGCCATTGAAATAAACAGTACTTCAATATAAATTACAAGTATGTTTGATGTTTGATCTGGGACTGGCTGTGTGAAAGCAGCACCATCCTCTTTGGTCAATGTGATGTTCTCTTCTTCACATGCACCACAATCTTAGGCATCTTTATTTAGAAGTCAGTACCACTGTGTTTGGACGCGGGTGGCGCTGTGGGTTAAACCACAGAGCCTAGGACTTGCCAATCAGAAGGTCGGCGGTTCAAATCCCCGCAACGGGGTGAGCTCCCATTGCTCGGTCCCTGCTCCTGCCAACCTAGCAGTTCGAAAGCACATCAAAAGTGCAAGTAGATAAATAGGTACCACTCCGGCGGGAAGGTAAACGGCGTTTCCGTGCACTGCTCTGATTCGCCAGAAGCGGCTTAGTCATGCTGGCCACATGACCCGGAAGCTGTACGCTGGCTCCCTTGGCCAATAAAGTGAGATGAGCGCTGCAACCCCAGAGTCGGTCACGACTGGACCTAATGGTCAGGGGTCCCTTTACCTTTACCACTGTGTTTAAGGGAGATTTCCTCCCGGGCAAAGTGTTCCTAGGATTGCAGTCACCTGCAGTTGATCCTACTGCTCAGAATCTGCAGAAAATTCGAGGCCAGCAGCTGTTTCTTTCCCAACTTCAAGCTCTGTCCCCTCTCATCACCCTGCTGGTATGTGACTCACGCTGTTTTATCTTTTTCAGAAACTGGGAGACGCCAGATAACATTCAACTTACCGACAAATATAATTATAAGACCCATTGTGTTCTTACTTCAGATGAAGCCTCAAAGGGCAAGTGGAACAACATTCCCTGTGATAAGCTCCATCTATCTGTCTGTGAGAGGGACAAGGAGGTGACCTGCGTTCTGTGGTCTCCACTTTCACCCCACTGAAATGATTTGCTTTATTTTTATTCCATAGAAACAATTTTTAAAAAAAGATAATTGTACAAAGCAAATACAGAAGAAAAGCAAAAGCAACTTGTAGCAAGAACATACACCAGTCAAACAGATGTGTCACTGCTGTGAAAACATGTGCTCTATTCCTAACAGTATTTCATGAATTGTTTCCATTGTATTAAAAATCAACAACTGCAAGGTGAGACAACCAACCAAGTATTCCCCAAAGCTTGGGTTAAAAGGTGTGTCTTGTTAGAATCCTAGAAACCAATTCAAATACTAATTAGACTCAGGCATGCTGTTTATATGAGGCTGGTTATCCCACAAACTGCCTCTCAAGCAAATGTAGCAATTGCATGCACAATTAACGACCCATTCAGAGTCCCATCTTGACTTGAAGGTTTTCAGAACTGTCTCTTGGTAGTGGCTTGGTCAGAATATCAGCTGTCATTTCTTTGGTTTGACAATACACCACAATTCAACATGTCTGTCTTGTATTACCTAATGCACATGGTAGTTTTTAACCCTAATGTGTTTAGTTCTTGCATGTAGCTTTTCTTTGTGATAATTTCAAACAGCTTTAATTGTGCTCCATCAACTGAACAGGTTTCTGCATACACAACCCAAAGCCCGTAGTTAGTTGGTCAGTTAAGACCAGTTCTCTACATACCTCAGTTGTACCTATATGCTCTCTTTCTTGGAAAAAGCTGGTAGCTATGCATGGCTCCCAGCTCAACAAAATATACATGCAAGTAAATTTTCCTAGCTAGGAGATTTACACAGCCTGCATGTCTTTATTAACACAAAGACCGCATGATCCTTTTGTAATGAAACCACATTCTTTTCCTTTTAAATTGTTTGGAACCATTTTTCTTCTTTATTTTTACTTCTGATGGGCAGAGACTTGTTTACTGTAACTACTGAAACTTTGTAAGTAAAATCTTTATTTATTTACAAAACAAGGTGTCTGTGATTTATTCTAGCCTACGTATTTTTGTGGGGACCATTGGTTTAAAGGTGGATGAAGGCAGATGCAGAATCTAACTGAGTTTTAATGTGCTTTGTAGCAATCGGCCTATCTCTGCGAGGAGAGAGGAAGAATCTCTTCCCCAAACTTCTATTTCCAACATCACATCTTAGTATGCCATTTAAATATAAGCAGATGGTGCCATGCACACATCTAAAAGGTAGGGATTCCAATAGTCAAGAGGTCACCACAGAGAAGGCTCTGTTGCATACCACTGTCCCAGAGAGCACCCCAAAATTACAAACTTACCCTTTCTAGAGGAGTGCCCATCCCAATACACAAGGAGGCTCACTTCCTAGACTCAACAACTTGGCACACACATTTATCTTCCTCTTCCAACTAGCTTTATCCAAGTTTTCATCTGTATTAAAACTATTTAAACTACTTGTATGTATGCAATTGTTTTTCATTGTTTTATATATGAAGCTGTTTTTTCCTGTTTCCTGTTTTGTGGTTGCAATTGTTTCATAACTGCATGTATTAATTTTGCAAACCACCCTGACACCTAGCAGAAGAGAGATCTGATAAATAAAATGGACCTCTGTCTTGTCTGGATTTGATTTCAGTTTATAGGACCACCCCACCCCACCCCCGTACGCACACACACCCAGCCCATTGTTGAACAAATGGGTGACAAAATGGAGCCCTGTGGGACACTGTGGATAATTTCTCAATGTAAATCAATAAGATAAAAAACAAATACTTATAAATAACAACAGCAAGGAAAAGAATACAGATGAAATTACTTTTCCAGAAAAATGCTGTGCACAGATGGAGTGTGCGTCTTGCTAGTGTTAGGGCAAATGAAAATTTTGGCAGATACCTGGGTGATCAACCTTCTTTCAGACACCTCCAGACATTTCTTATGATAATCTGAACCTTTGTTTTGCGGTTCCTTTCTTTTCTCAAATAACATGAAGCCTGATCACTTGCTCTTTCATTAAGAGCCCACTCATAGTTGTCTGAACCTTTTGTAACGAATCAGCTTCAGTCTCTTCCACAGTTCAGCCATAATTAGCTAGGACCATCCCATCCTGCTTTGCTACATTCAGCCATGACAGTTGCACTCCCCTTCCTGAGCATTAGGAGTGGGGCAAGCGCCTGACATTTCTGTGGTTTGTTAGAAAGGAAGCTGATAGTGATAGACAGCAAGCACAAGCATCCGGCTACTAAGCTTAGCTGCTCTGAGAGGCATTTGAGGAGAAGAATCAAACCCATCATGGATGACGGCTATCAGAATGAAGACTATTGGAATGAAGATTACCAGAATGACATTCTTTCAGACAAATTTTCTCAGAATGCTGAAGTTTCCTCAGAGTCAGAACCTGGAAGCGCAGGTAAATCAGGGTGGCAGTGGAAGGAAGAAGGAAGGGAGGAGAATGGGAAATTCTCAAAAGGCTGTTCTAGTTCTGCTGCTGTTGTGTCCACATCACATATAAAACACACAATTCCCTATGTGAGTGATCTAACAGGGTTATCATTCCTAACTGTAATTCTCCTCTATACTCATTACTCCTCTATACTCTAGTAATTCTCCTCTATACTCTATACTCATTAGGACTAGATCATGCTGCCACAGTTATCCAGTCTTGGGAGGCTGTTTAGTAAGATTGCAATAAACAGTCACAGTTGCTGCAGCAGTTGCAGCATGGTCACATTAACATGTTAGCCTCTTACTTGCTATCAGCACAAGCATTCTTAATATTTACATTTGCTAATAAGCTTCTTTTGCCCCAATTCTGGCTCTTTGAATGATATACTATTCCACAATGAGTGACAAAGCTGGGCATGCCCACTTCCAGTGGGTAGCAAGACCATGAAATCTGGAAAGTCACAACGGAGAGCCAAGTAGGCAATCTCTTTAAAAAACAACACCTTTTCTGTCTCTAGAATCAGTGGTTTTGGACCAGCAAGGATATAAGAATGCTGCGCAGGAATATGAGTATATCGGGTTTTCTGGCATCCGGCTGAGAAGGCTACCAGAGAAGGGAGAGGAAAGAGAACCAGGTGAAAAGAATTAACATAAATGGCACAAATAAATGTGTCCACAAATGGCACAAATAAATGTTTTTAGTCTCTCTAGTCTTTAGTCTCTGAAGAGGAGCACAAATAATATCCCCCTTCCTCATTAGACTTTAAAAAGCCTTTGTTGCCCAATTCAGACACCAGTTACACTGTTCATCTACTTTTCTGTCCCGCTTTGGGCTCTGATGTATTGGAGGACCACATGAACATTGTTGTTGTTCTCATTCCTTCCGTTTCCAAAATTCAAAGGAGCCTCATGTAGCTAAAATGGCACCGTCCACACACAAGAGGGAGGTATCAGAAGCTTTGGGGAAACCTCAAGGTTTTCCAGAAGGACAAAAAATATTTTGAAACCCAGAATGAGCATGCTCAGTAGGCATGGAACGCTTGCTGTATTTTGGCAGGGGGGAAGAGGGAAACCTGGATGGAAGGGAGACTAGCCAATCCCTCTTCCCTGTGAATCCTGGGAATTGTAGCTCTCTGAAGAGAACCCTTAACAAATCAAAGAGGCCACGATTCTCTGAGGGAAGCCTTCTTTATTCTCAATAGTCCTGCTCTGAAATCCTGTGGTCCTCCTTGAGCTTCCAGGTTTATTCTTCTTTATTTGCAGCACTGTTTACATCTGAGGACGGCAAGTGGGGACCCTTTGGCAGGAAACCCTTCATGATCTTCTCAGTTCTGTTGCTCTGCTCCTTGATCATAACAACAGCTACACTCATAATGGCATGTCTTAGATGTAAGTTCAGATCTGAAGAAGGTAAAATCTTCTGGATATTACTTCTGTGTAGTTCCACCTGCCCCACCCCACCCCCAGAAGTACATAGTGCTGAAGGAGGAAGTAGAGAGAGCGACACTCTGTCCCACTTCCTCTTTCAGCTCTATGTATTTAGCTGTATGTATTCCTCTTTCAGCTTATATGTATTGTTGCACACCACTCCAATCTCTGAGAAGTGCCTGGATTCCAGGGGTTTCAGATGTTTCCTTCTGGAAACGAGGCACAGCAGAGACTGTGGTGTCTTTATGATATATTTACCCATATATGCAACCTGAGCCTATGATGGAGGGGTTCACAGTATCAACACCCCAAAAAGTTCTTGCATCTCCCATAGCTGCAGTTTTGGATTGAAGCAGAAATCAACTATGGCCCACTCTCGGCCTTTCCAGCCTGCAGCTTTTTCTCCAGCTTCTAGTTCACATCGCAGCAAACTCTGCCCTCAAACTCAGGCTTTGCCCTTCTATCTATCTGAGAGCTGAAGGAGGAGCCCTCCCATTTGCCATTGGACACAGAGCCCTCTTTCCTTTATTCTCTTAATGGCCCATCACCTTTCTTTTGTTATCTGATGGGCCCCTCACCCAGGCAGTTAGCCTGACTTGAATAAATTCTAACATTTGCTGGATCCAGTGAATAAAGAGGTCTGGCAACCACAAACTAATAACATTGCTTTTCAAGGCTCAAATCAGCAGCTGAAAAGAAAACTGACAAGAGAGACTATGAGGGAAAGGAGGAGGAGCAGTTTGAGAGACTAGGGGGAGGAAAATGGAGTCCCTGTGAGGAGGCAGGGTGAGAACAAAGACAGAGATCAAGAGGGACACACAGAGAGGAGGGGATGGAATGCTGGAGCAAGAGAGATGAGAAGTTTCTCTCTCAGTCTCTCTCTCTCTCTCTCTCTCTCACTCACACACACACACACACACACACACACGAACTGGTAAAAGAGATCCTCTTGGAATTACATGTTTTTTTCACATATCTCCCCAGCACACACAGCCAAAGTCAAATCACAGATCACATCTTTCTCCATTAACTGAACCCATATTTTTATGGTTCACCCTTAGGTGATGATATTTCACACACACACCATCAGGATAAGGCAAAGGGACTGGTTTTGAAATGTGTGTTTATTGGCAATTATGGTAGTGTATGACTCCAGGCACAATAACATCCTTTGACCAGCAGAACATCTAAGATATATTCATGCTGGGTAGCATTAATCAACATTTCCATATATTGCAGGCTTTCCAAAGTGTGCAGATGACTGGTATAAGTTTCAGGAAAAATGCTACTACTATTCCACAGAAAAAATGCAACAGAATACAGCTAGAAGTTTCTGCCAAGCCCTAGGTGCAGATCTAATAGTGATTGACAGTGAAAATGAACAGGTAATTCTATCTAAGGAATAAATAAAATATAATTGAGTGTGTTACTTTCACTAATATATTCATTTCTATGAACACTTGCCTAATATGTGCAATTTTGCAAATATTATATGGCTAGAGCAGTGTTTCCCAACCTTGTGCCTCCAGCTGTTTTTGAACTACAACTCCCATCATCCCTGACTAGCAAGACCAGTGACAAGGGATGATGGGAATTGTAGTCCAAAAACAGCTGGAGGCACAAGGTTGGGAAACACTGGGCTAGAGAACTGCAAATTCATGTTATTTTCATTTTCTATGAGGACTTTCTGAAAGATGAACTGCAGATAAGCGAGAACACTTGGATTGGACTGACTTACATAGAGGCTGAAAGAAAGTGGATGTGGCAAGACTTCAAAAATCATTCCTACACGTGAGTAGCATTATTGAGTTGAAAATTCTCTACCATATCATAGCACTGATTTGCAATGACTCCTTGTCCACCCCTGTTTACTATGTGCATTAGCTACAGTTAGATCTGCTCCCTAGTGCTTATAGTGCACTAGCAACGTCTCCCCCCTCCAAACTTGACAGCTAAAGCTGAACCATTTTCCTCCTCTGAGTACCTCTCCTCTTAGAATATGGTAGCAGATCTTCCCAAACTCTCCAAAGGTCAGATTCATGTACTTTTCCATACAGCAGTCAGAAAACACAGGTTGTAAACCTGGGCTTTGTTTCAGTGGTGAAAGTTTCTAAATTATTGGTATAGGAACACAAGAATGGCTTGTAAGATCAATCAGCTCAGACCTCTTTACACACTGAGTTTCTCAGATAAACTGGAGGGGAACAGCAATGGGCTGGATTCCCTCCTTACCAAAGTGAGGGAGAATGACCTAGCTAAGCCTGACAGGGCAGCTTTCTCTCTGTCTGTGGCATTAACCCATTCATGCATTAATTAGACTTAAGCATGTTGGTTATATGAGACTAGTTATCCCACACAAAAAAGTTGAGGCCAGCATCTGCTTACCACCCCTGCTCCCAAGTTCATGATCCTGCCCCATATACTGGATTCCCCTGATAGCATGCAATTCAGACAAATTTGTGTTTCTCATTTTCAGAAACTGGGATGGAAGGACAGAACCAATCAGTTCCCGATGCTGTGTGATTTTGGACCCCAAGTATGAATTAAAATGGAAGAACACCGAGTGCCTAAGACGCTTGGGCTTCATTTGTGAAAAGAGCAGGCACATTGCCTGTGCCCTGCAGTCCCCATTCTTACCTCATTGAAACTTGGCTAATTTGTGGGCGTGTACAAGCAGAATTGATTCATAGGAGTGTTTTTTTAAAGGTTGCAAGAACTTGCAGGGTTAGAACAATGTCTTTCTGGTCCTCTAGAGTCTAGACTGTGAGTCAAAAGCCAGTCAGGAAATAAGCCTGGCTGAATGTACATGGTGTCATGGGGAGGAACGAAGCACATGGGTTTCCCTCAGCATCTCCCTCTCCATGCCTCTGCCCTGGTTTTTGGAGCCAGCAGTGACCAGTTTGATGCCACCAGCAAGGCTCTCCCAGCTATCTGTCTCCAAGATCTGTATTCCGAAGTATACCTCCCCTAAACATGGCTGTCCAATTTAATGGTTATGCCTGGTCAAACTGGGCCCGTGCACAGGTATTTCTTTACATTTTATTATCATTAAAGGAATACCCAGGAAGGGTGCGAGAGCCAAATCCTACCAGCATATTCCACAATAGGCAAAACAGACATCCTTCAGTGATGAATGCAGATTCCTGCAAAAGACCCCCCGTTGGATCTGTCACTGGTAAAGAAAAGCCAGTCTAGGAAATCTTCTTGCCTGCTCTCCTCCCTCCCTCCCTCCCTCCTATCCTATGCTCGCCACTTTCAGCAGAGGGTGGCTCTCTGAATAAGCCATGATGTCACCTAAGCATTTTGCAAATATTAAAAACCTTGGAGAAGGTTCAAGAAGGCTTCCCCCCTCCTTGAGCTTTGAAATGGAAAAGATTCTGTCCAGTTTCAGGTAGCTTAAATAATGTTGTCGGCTCCTGTGGAGGCAGCTAGCGGAGGGAAGAATCAGCTCCATTTCCCTTCACTCTGAATTTATGTTTACATATTGTAGCTTTCAGTTCCTGTCCACATTCATTCAATACAAATGTGCTGTTGTGTAAAACATCTGTATTAAAAACATTTTAAGCAAGCAACTGTAGCAGGAAACCCCACCCCCCAATCATTCAGTTTCTACAAACTTCACTCACACTCACACACTACATACACTACGCTTCTGTTATAAATTCATAGATAATCAACCATACATCGGATTTGCACTGTTCCACTTTTATTTTACTCCATGAAGGAAAGACTACAAAATGGGGAAGGTTTGATACAGGCCACCATAATCCCTTGAGCATACCAGCACATCCACAGGAGCCCTGCCCAGTTGCTATGCCAACCCTGATGGTCTCAGAAAGAAGACCATCAACAACACAACGGACTGCATACAAGAGTGGATTCAACATGGACTATAACAAAAGAACAGTGATTGGATTCCCCCTCAGGGGGCAGGAAACTGCGACTACCTTTTGTCTTCTGAAAATGACTCATGGGGAGGGGGAGAAGGGAACCAGCCAGGTGACAGGACACTCAGGTTACCACCACCACCCCTCCCTCAACCCCTCCTTTCTGTGATGTAGGCATGATGTTTCTGGGGGTGGGCTTGACCTACTGGATGGGAATTTCAAAAGTTTTTATAAGGCCTTACACACCATTTTTCTGTGTCTTTCCTCTCTCCTGCAAGTGAGGGGAGCACCCTGTTGCAACAGTTCAATAAATGCCAAGCCTACAGGCTACTGATTTGCTCCAATTTACTCTGGTTGGTGTCTTTACTTTTTGTCCAAGGGAGCCCTCGGATTTTTCCGGTAACACAATTAAAAGACTGATTTAAGACCTGCAAATGTGCTTATATTCCCATGTCTCCTAAGTCCCAATTCCGGTATTAGTATTACTACTACTACTAGTAGTAGTAGTACTAGTAGTAATACTAATACTAATAATACTAATTACCCCTAAACATTTTGTGAATCTAAGTTTGACCTCATTAAGAGCAGTATTTCAATATGAGCAGAAAAATGAGAGTACCCCTAAACTTTGTTTTTAGAAAAAAAGCACTAGTAAAATGTAGTCATTTAAAACACATGGCTTGTCCTTCTACAGTTAATGTGTATGTATTTTTCAGACGTTTGGGCGTGCCTGACAGTATCAGGCCATCAAGTCTAGCATCCTGTTTTGAACTGAAGCCTATTTTATCCGTCTCCAGCATCTATAATAGATAAACTATCTCTCAGCATTTAGTTTCCATTTACCGGTAGCTGTCATGGCTTGCAACTGTTGGTAGAATTGTCCTCCATTAACTACATGTTGGAGCAGATGACTATGTATTAGTTTGCAATCAGGCCATGGTACTTCATTCTGTGTTCACAACACTTCATTACCTATTAATTTTTGCATTTTACGTGACACAACATAAAAGCCACTTCAGGAAATTTAGTGGAACTTAATGCAAGTTTAGTGTTCATTTCCATGTTGTCTCTAGAAAAAATTCATTGCAACCCCATTTACTCAGAAAATTGCAGGAGTTTTGCACTGCAATTTCACGTGATGACATTTGGGGCCCATATCCTGGCATATAGTCCTTTCCCACTACATACCATGGCTGTGGAGTTTCTGTGATTGATCTGTGGCTACATTCACAACAGGGCTAATGTTCTGAAAGCCCATCCTTGACTTGTTAACCATGTAACCATTGGACAGAGCAATCATCCAAATGGTTCTCTCCCAAATCATGGGGAAAAGTTCATAAATTCAGTTAGGGAAGTTTGAGTGCATAATAATGCTATTAACTGAGTGCCAAATCAACATCTGCTGATCACCTAGGAAGTTAAGTTTCTGGAGACATTTCTAATGGGTCGTCTTCTCCTTTGGTGATCACTCATAGCTGAATAAGATGTCTTCCATGAACATGGTCTTAACAGTGAGTCCATAAGTGACTTCGGAGGCTAATTCTGCATCCACATGTCCTTCCACAGTGGGGACATAGGTTTCCAGGCGGGAGTTGATCACGGTGAGGGTTTCCCAAACATGCCTTCCTCTAAGCTTGTTTCTCCCTTTCATCCAGAGATTGTGCTTCTTCAGAGTCCATGACACCTTTGGTAAAGGTTGTTCCTAATTGGCGCACTCGCAGGCCAGTGTTTCCCAGTTATCAGTGCTTATACACTTTTTTTTTTACTTTTTTTTTTTTTGCCTTGAGAGCGTCTTTAAACCTCTTTTATCGTCCACCGGTATTTCGCTTTCCATTCTTAAGTTGGGAATAGAGTAGGCATCCAAACAACATGACCCGTCCAACAAAGTTGATGTTGAAGAATCATTGCTTTGACACTGGTGATCTTTGCTTCTTCCAGTACACTGGCATTAGTTCGCCTGTCTTCCCAAGTAATGTGTAAAATGTTTTGGAGACACCATTGATGGAATCATTTACAATTTGAAGATGATGTTTATAAGTGGTCCATGTTTCACAAGTGTACAGTAAAGTTGGTAGTATCATAGCTTTGTAAACAAGCAATTTGGTTTCCCTGTGAATGTCATGGTCCGCAAACACTATGCACTTCAATTGGGAGAAAGCTGCGCTCACAGAGCTCAGGCGATGCTGGATTTCAGCATCAGTGTCAGCCCTTGTGGAAAGATAACTGACCAGGAAGGAAAAGTGATTGACATTTTCCAACATTACACCATTAAGTTGGATTTGTGGTGCTGCAGAGGGGTTGTTTTGTGCTTGTTGGTGCAGCACTTTGTTTTTTTGGATATAGAGCAATAGGCCAAGCATTCCATAAGATTCTGTGAATATATTTAGGATACCGTATTTTTTGCACCATAACACTCACTTTTTTCCTCCTAGAAAGTAAGGGGAAATGTCCGTGCGTGTTATGGAGGGAATGCCTACGGGTGGCGGGGGGGATCTGCTGCAGTCGTGAGCAGAGGATCCATGGTTCCCCTTCCTTCCCTCCTCCGAGGCTCGCTTTGAAACAGCAAAGAGGGAGAAGAGCCGCTGAGTGGGGAGGAGAGAGGGACAGAGAGTCTGCTTCTTTAAAGGAGCAAAGCGGGAGAGGAGCCGCTTACATAGCAGCAAAGTTTTTCAGCTCGCTAAGCCGGGGAGGAGGGAGAAAAGCAGAGCCTGCTTGCTTTAAAGGAGCAAAGTGGGAGAGGAGAGGAGCCTTCTCCCCTTATACCCCTCTTCTGCATTACAGTGGTGCCTCGCAAGACGAAATTAATTTGTTCCGTGAGTTTTGTCGTCTTGCGATTTTTTTCGTCTTGCGAAGCACGGTGTCGGGAAAGTTTTGGAAAAGCTTCAAAAACCTCAAAAAGCTTTAAAATCCTCAAAAAAGGCTACCACACCGCGTTCTATGAGTTGCTCCTCGAAGTCAAGTCGCAACTGTATTAACGGTGTTAAGAAAAAGGAAACAAACTTGCAAGACATTTCCGTCTTGCGAAGCAAGCCCATAGGGAAAATCGTCTTGCGAAGCAGCTCAAAAAACAAAAAACCCTTTCGTCTAGCGAGTTTTTTGTCTTGCGAGGCATTCGTCTTGTGAGGTACCACTGTATTAGCAGCATCCTTCTCCACACACCCTACGCATGCTCCTTGTCTCTTGAGTGCTTTTCCTTCCCTCCCGACTTAAAACGTGGTTACAAAGATTGGATTTTTGCATTGGGCTACTCCAAACTCACTGTCAGATCACATGTCTGTGGCCACAGCATGAACCACAAAAATCATACATCCACTGTTTCATTTAGAATATTTTTTTTCTTGTTTTTCTCCTCTAAAAACTACGTGCGTGTTATGGTCGGGTGCGTGTTATAGAGCGAAAAATACAGTTTGGAGGTCATCCTCTGAGTGTGCACACACTACTTTGTCATCAGCATACTGAAGCTCCATGACAGAAGGTATGGTAACCTTACTCTTTGCTTTCCGCCTACTCAGATTAAAGAGCTTTCCATCTGTTCAATATATGATTTCTACTCTGGTGGGGAGTTTCCCTTCAACAATGTTGATTAAGATAATAGAGTTGGGGTGATAACACATCCCTGTTTAATGCCTGATCCCACTGTTAATGGTTCACTTTGAGACCCATTGTTATCTAATGGGTAATTCCCCTGCCATTTAAGGGTGCTCATTCCATCCAGTAATTATTATCGGATATACTATGTTTGCTAATTGAGTGCTTGTGGTACTCACCTGAGTATCTGGTCTCACCCATTGGTGCAGCTTTTGCATGATGCAAGGTTCTGTCTGAGGATCAGCTTCTGGG